GCTTTTGGGTAACTGTCGTCATCCGTCAGTCACTACCGCCCTCCCTCCCTCCCTGAAAGCACCGGCGGGAAATCAGTTCACGCACTTTTTGATCAGTGACAGCGCGGACGCCACAGCACTGCGATCATGGATCCCGCTGCGACCATCGCTGCAGTTGTGGCCGTTCTCAACGCCTCGCAGCTTATCATACACCTTTCCCTGAGGCAGATGCAGAGAAATCAGGCGAGGAGGCTACGGCACCGCCGTGAGGGCCTGAAGTCGGAGAGTAGCACAGAGCTGTCAGAAACCACGAGCCCCAGCGCCCAGGACATCACGGTGGCAATGGGGCATGTGGATTTTGTTGAACGGCGATTCTGGGCCCGGGAAACAAGCACGGACTGGTGGGACCGCATAGTGCTTCAGGTCTGGGATGAATCCCAGTGGCTGCGAAACTTTCGCATGCGGAAGGGGACTTTCCTGGAACTTTGTGACTTGCTGTCCCCTGCCCTGAAGCGCAAGGACACCCGCATGCGAGCAGCCCTGACTGTCCAGAAGCGAGTGGCCATAGCCCTCTGGAAGCTTGCAACGCCGGACAGCTACCGGTCAGTCGCGAACCACTTTGGCGTGGGCAAATCTACCGTGGGGGTTGTTGTCCTGCAAGTAGCCAAGGCAATCGTCAAAGTACTGCTGTCAAAGGTAGTGACCCTGGGAAACGCGCAGGCCATCATAGATGGCTTCGCCGCGATGGGATTCCCAAACTGCGGTGGGGCTATAGATGGGACTCACATCCCTATCCTGGGACCGGGCCACCAGGCCAGCCAGTACATCAACCGAAAGGGCTACTTTTCAATGGTGCTGCAAGCACTGGTGGACCATCGGGGACGGTTTACAAACATCTACGTCGGATGGCCGGGCAAGGTTCATGACGCCCGCGTGTTCAGGAACTCTGGTCTGTTTAGACGGCTGCAGGAAGGTATTTACTTCCCGGACCACAAGATAACTGTTGGGGATGTGGAGATGCCTACAGTGATCCTCGGGGACCCAGCCTACCCGCTAATGCCCTGGCTCATGAAGCCCTATACTGGCGCCCTGGACACAGAAAAAGAACTGTTCAACTACCGGCTGAGCAAGTGCAGAATGGTGGTGGAGTGTGCTTTTGGCCGTCTCAAGGGGAGATGGAGAAGCTTACTCACTCGCTGTGATCTCAGCGAAACCAATATCCCCATCGTTATTGCAGCTTGCTGTGTGCTCCACAATCTGTGTGAGAGCAAGGGGGAGACCTTTATGGCGGGGTGGGAGGTTGAGGCAAATAGCCTGGCTGCTGATTACGCCCAGCCAGACAGCCGGGCGATTAGAAGAGCCCAGCGGGACGCGCTGTGCATCCGGGAGGCTTTGAAAGCCAGTTTCAAGGCTGAGCAGGGTACCCAGTGACTTTTAAGTTTGTGGACACAGAGGCAGAACTTGCCCCCGTTTCTTTACCCAGTTGCCGTCGACTATCCTCTCCAATTACATACCCCCTTCACCCCCTTCCCAAAAAATAAAATCTGTTCTGTTTTGTTAATGGACACCATTGTCTTTATTACTGTTTTCGCGGGAATGTTTTAAACCTGGGACGCAGACTGTGGCGGGGGGCGGGTTTAGGGTTGTGATGCAAATGATGCTTCTAAACTCCCGGAATGACAGGCTCCGCGGTGGTGGACTGGTTGTTTCAACGGAGCCTGCCAGCCCTCCTGGCCGGGACTGCGTGTATGTGTCGGCTATGTGACTGTCTTGCAGGGGGAGGAAGGTTACAGATCCCCTGCTGCGCGGCTCTGTGATGCAGGGTAAGGACCGCTGCATAAGATCTGTAACTGCCCTCCCCCGCCACCAAGTCACAGAGCAACACCACCGCCCCCACCACACAAAACATGAAAACCACCTCCCAGACTGACCAGGATAACTAGTCACTGCACTGTATATGTGCCCTGCTGCTGCACCTGCCCCCTGCTAAAGGTGACTGTCCTGTCCAATGACCAAGCCCCTTCCCCCCCCTTCAGACAGACTCCCCTCCAAAAGAAGAGGATGGAAACAGAAATGAACAGAAACGTATTCTTTATTAACAACCGCACATGGAACGGGGGGGTGAAACTTGGACGGGGTCTTGTGTGAGGCGGGTAGGAAAGGACTTTTCAAATTTTGGGGAATGAGAGCCTTCTAGTGGTAGAGCAGTCCGCAGGGGTGGAGTGAAATTTTTCACGGCCCCTTCCACCCCTCCGTGTTTGGACTTTGGGTGAGGGGGGTATGGGACTTGGTGGCGGGGCAGGGCAGTTACAGAGAGACTGCAGCGGGGCTCTCTCCTCCTGCCTCCGGTCCTGCAGAACATCCACAAGGCGGCGGAGCGTGTCCGTTTGCTCCCTCATTAGTCCAAGCAGCGTTTGAGTAGCCTGCCTGTCCTCCTGTCGCCACCTCTCCTCCCGTTCAATGTTTGCCCGGTGCATTTGGGACAAGTTCTCCCTCCACTGTGTCTGCTGGGCTGCCTGTGCTCGGGAGCATCCCATTAGTTCAGCAAACATGTCTTCCCGTGTCCTCTTCTTCCTCCTCCTAATGTGCGCTAGCCTCTGGGCAGATGTGGCTGTGGGAATTGGAAAAAGGGAGTGAATTCCTGAGACAGAGCAATGTATCTGTGAACAGAGAACATAGTCTTTCTCTGTGAACAAGACCATGCAGAGCACCTATCACACGCGCACTGAGGACAAGGTCGAATTTTCGGCCCTCGCCTACAGTGCCTGCGGTCTTGCTGTGGCGAGCTGAGGAGCAGGGCTGGACACCGGACTTTGTCTAGCTGGCAAACATGGTAAGCCGTAGACTTGTGGCCGCTTAAAACTTTAAGAGTGGCACTGGCCTCCTTTCACATAGAAAGCAATGCGAGTCTCTGCTGGCAGCAATCCTGCAAGCATGAACTCTGGCCCTGTCCCACCCCCTCGCGGCTGTAAACCGCGTGGCTGTAAACCGGCGGTTGCAGTTCTGTAAAGGGACGGGCAAGCAGTCCCAATACTAACTTTCCCCTACCTAATTCACAGCAGGGAGTCATGCCAGACATCACCCTCCTGAAGGTCTCGGAGAGCCAGAAGGAGAAGATGCTCCGGGACAGCCTGCAGAAACCGGGGCCATTTGCTGCACTGCTCTGCAAGGCCATGATCCCGGAGTACCTGCTGGCGTTGTGGCAGGGAAACGTGTCCTACCACGGGGGGCCTAATAAGCTCTCCCTGCCCAGGAACCTGCTGATGAGGCTGGAAAAACACCTGCAGGAGGTGTATGAGGAGTTCTCCCCGGAGGATGTCGCCTCTATCCCCGGTTACATTGACCAGTTCTTGGCTTAGGTGCCCTTGGAGGGACAAATGACTGCAGGGTTTTGGGCACTATAATCATGAAGCGGACATTGTGCAATTTTTTGAAAATGGTTCGGACTATATATTGAGGCGCCCAAAGACAGACTAATCATGATACACTTTGCACTGATTCCCCTTTTGTTTGACTTTCCTGTTTACATGTTTTGAAGCACTTTACCCGCTGTTAATATTTTCAATCTTCCTGTTTTGTTGCAAATAAATGTTTACATGTTTTAAAGCACTTTAGCTACTGTTAATATTTTAAATATGCCAGTTATGTTGTAAATAAATGTTTAGATATTTAAAACACTTACTGCTTGATCCTTCCCCTGAATCTGTGTCTGGGGTAACGGCGGGGGACGGTTGGTAGGGGATCTCTGTCAGGGTGATGAAGAGCTCCTGGCTGTCGGGCAAATCAGCGGTGCCAGCGCTGTCGACTGCCTCGTCCTCCTCATCTCCTTCTTCATCTTCCCCGTCCGCTAACATGTCGGAGGAACCGGCCGCGGACAATATCCCATCCTCAGAGTCCACGGTCAGGGGTGGGGTAGTGGTGGCGTCCGCACCTAGGATGGAATGCAGTGCCTCGTAGAAACGGGATGTGTGGGGCTGGGATCCAGAGCGTCCGTTTGCCTCTTTGGTCTTCTGGTAGCCTTGTCTCAGCTCCTTGATTTTCACGCGGCACTGCGTTGCATCCCGGCTGTAGCCTCTCTCTGCCATGGCTTTGGAGATCTTCTCGTAGATCTTAGCATTCCTTCTTTTGGAGCGCAGCTCTGAAAGCACGGACTCATCGCCCCACACTGCGATGAGATCCAAGACTTCCCGATCCGTCCATGCTGGGGCCCTCTTTCTATTGGATTGCACGGCCATCTCTGCTGGAGAGCTCTGCATCGTTGCCACTGCTGCTGAGCTCGCCACGGTGTCCAAACAGAAACTGCGCTTCAAACTGCCCAGACAGGAAAAGGAATTCAAATTTTCCCGGGGTGTGGCTGGTCAGAGCATCCGAGCTCGGACTGCTGTCCAGAGCGTCAACAGAGTGGTGCACTGTGGGATAGCTCCCGGAGCTATTAGCGTCGATTTCCATCCACACCTAGCCTAATTCGATATGGCCATTTCGAATTTAGCGCTACTCCTCTCGTTGGGGAGGATTACAGAAATCGATTTAAAGAGAGCTCTATGTCGAACTAAATGGCTTCCTGGTGTGGACGGGTGCAGGGTTAATTCGATATAACGGCGCTAAATTCGACATAAAAGCCTAGTGTAGACCAGGCCTAACACTGTCTTCTCATTCAGCATCATTCAGTAACTCCTCCCAGAGCTAACTGAACAAAACTTCTTAGTTACACTTCCTTCAACTTCATTGACTAGATATGGACCCAGATTTCCCAATGTGACGTCTTAAAGAGGCCTGGTTTTCAGAAAGGGGTAAGCACCCACCTTGTGAAAATCAGGCCCCTGTAAGGTGTTTTAACATAAGCACCCAAAATCACTGGTCACTTTTGAAAATATTGGCTCCACTTATAAGCCTAGATTACCAAAATGTTATTTTCACTGTATCCATTTAAATGACAAAGGGTTTTAGAAGTGACCTTTAAACTGTCTGTTGTTCCTCTCTTTTATGGTTAAAACGTAACACGCTTGTTTTACCATTTGCAGTTCGAACGTGTCCAAAACTTCACATACCTGAAAATGGACGAATTAATTGTTCGTCAAGTGATATCTCATACAAGACAGTGTGTTTTGTGACCTGTGATGAGGGCTATGAACTGGAAGGAAACTCCCAACTCACCTGTCAAGGAAACTCTCAGTGGGATGGAAAGGAGCCAGCGTGTGTGGGTATGTTTTTGGTCGTTGCGTGTCTGTTCACATAGAACCATGTCTTGAGGAGGTATTGATAATGGGATTAAAAAAATGACCTCTAGATTGCTGGTTGAAATCCAGCTGTGATATCTAGAAGTCGCTCCTCTCCTGTGGCTGTTTGATAACCTGTATGAAATGAATTAGTGATCACAGTCCAGTTCCTGGTAGACAGAGCTCTCACACAGAAGAGGGCAGGGGGGAATCTCTGGGGAGACTCAATTACCCTCTCAGAGCTAGAGATGCTCCCTCCAGCTAAAGATTGAGGCATGCTGGCAGCATGGGGGAAGCTTAAGCTACTGCTGCCTCCTTTGTTGGAATTCCCAGCACAGAGGCCAAGGGTTGAAAGGGCTGAGGATGCTGAGCAGCCCTTTTACTCCTTCAGGGGAAACTTGCTGGTCCCATTTGAAGCACATTGGTGGAGCAGTGCAGGGAACCGTCCGCTGCTGGTGCCTGCTCGGGACTTGCTATGTGAATAAGTAGAGGACTTTAGACTCCAGGATTACCAGTCCAGCACTTTTCATGAGTGCTGACTTCACTGAAAAATGTTAATAATAATAATAATAATAATAATAATAATTTTTAAAACCCAGTGAAAATACAGAAATCATGAACATAGGGCCTGACTTTTCAGAAGCTGGGCTTGTTTGGTGCTCCTGAAAATTGTGGGTGCAGTTAATGTCATCAGTAAATTTTGTACCCACGTGTCCAAATGACCTACATTATGCCCATAATTATTTGTAATTCAAAAACTACGGGGACAAAAATGGGGACCCTGTGAGGGCAAGGCTGAACATTGAGCCCTCGGCGTAGATACATGCTTTAAAAACATCATGAAGATAAATTCATAAATTTTGGATTATTTACACTAAGTACATTAAGAGCCCGATCTTGCTCCCAGATCAATGGGAACATTTTATTTAACTTCAACAGAGCAGGCCTGGGCCCTGAAATGCCATTGGAGGATTATTATTGGAGGACTTACTTTACTCTGTCATTTCTTAATTTTTAGTGATTATAATTCAGTTCCATTATATATCAAAAGGCTGCCTCATGCTGTTTGATATTATTTGACTCTTTTGCATAATCAAGCAGGTTATATGAGAGTTTTTGCTGGATTTCTGAGTCACCCATGGCAAGGCTTTGTTCTTGTTGGTCCCAAAAATCCGGTGTAAGAGTTTCCTTTGATTGCCCCATTGCAAAAAGCAGTAGCTGAAAAATCTGGACTCACTCCTGCCATGGCGGCACACAAAGATAACTTGTATAAATCCCCCACGCAAGGAAAGCAGATGTGAAATTCTACTCATGGAATAATTGCAGGATCATGAAAATGCTAACCAGAGTCCTAATAGCACATTTTAAAAAATTGTTCTCCTTACTGATGTTCTAAATTATTACTCTCACTGTTAAAAATGTGCACCTCACTTCTAGTCTCAATTTGGCTAGCTGCAGCTTCCAACCATTAGATCTCATTATGCTTTTTTCTGCTAGATGAAAAAGCATGTACTATCAGTAGGGCTCCGTGTCTGTCACGGTGATCGCGGAAGTCATGGATTCCACAACCTCCGCAACTTCTGCAGGGGAGGGTGCGACAGGCCCAGGGGCCACCCAAAGCAGCTGGCTCCGGGGACAGCCACACCAACCACTGCTCCGGCGGCCCCGGTGCCTCCTCCCCAGCACCCCCACTGCGCTTCCCAGTACCCCTTCTCCCCCCCAAGATTTAATCACAGGTATTTTTAGTATAAGTCATGGACAGGTCACGGGCCGTGAATTTTTGTTTATTGCCCGTGACCTGTCTGTGACTTTTACTAAAAATACCTGTGACTAAATCGTAGCCTTAACTATTGGAAATACTTCCCAGCATAGGTGCTTGTAGGCAGTGATCAGGTCATCTGTTAACCTCTTGGTAAATTAAAAAGATTTTGCTCCTAAGTCTCTTGCTAGAAAACATGTTTTCCAAATTTCATGTCATACTTACATCACTTTTCTGAATCCTTTTACATTTTTCAACATCCTTTTTGGAAGTATGGTCACCAGAACTGGACCAAGCATTCCAGGAATGGCCTCACTAATGCTATGTTATAACAGTTATTCTGGGTTGTTAGGGCCCAATTAGTTTTACCTGCCAAATACTGTAGGTTTTTTTTCCTACAAGGGTGTGTGTGTGTGTTACGTGTATTTTTAATTCAAGCAACTTTTTATTGAAGATGTTATTGTAATGAATTGTCTTGGATTATTATGTTACATTATATTCTGTTGTCTAAAATTAAAATATTTGATAGGCATGAAAACTTTTTTCTTTTTTTCTAACTTGCAAAAACAAAAGTTAATATTTCCCCACCACTAAACTCTTTTATCTCTTTCTCTCTTGTATTCCACTGAAGAGTTGTTTATAGCCAACATCTTAGATTTAGTGTACATCAGGAAATATTAGTCTCCTCATATTATAATGCTCTGTACAATGCCCATGATTACTGCGGGATTACACAGTTTGTTGGCATTAATGCCAAGGGTACTGATGCCATCTAGTGTTGAAAGAATTAGTGTGCCCACTTTTTAAATGTGTTTTGGCCAATCTTCATCCTCAAGGTTTATGTATAAAAGGAAGAGGAGAGAGAGGTCAATTAGTGCCCTGCTGTTCAGTATTCTTTTTGTCCATTAGATCAAAATTCACCTGTTAGTTTATTAACTGTGTACTGTACTCATTTGGTTTCAATCAGCTTCATGTGATGCACTCTTTTACAGACATGGGACAGATTTTGCTTTCTCATATGCTGGATTTTCACCCTGTATTTCCATCGGCATGAGTAACTGAGATCAAATTCTGACCCATCCGGTGTTAAATTATTTTATATTTATATACATTTACAGAATCATAGATTGATGGGACCAAATTCTGCTCCTATATACACCCTTTTAAATCCAGACTTATTGGGTCAGATCCTGTGTAAATCACTGTAGCTCAGCTGAAGTCAATGGAGCCAAGACCGTTTATACCAGCTGCGGACCTGGCCCACTGAGAGCAGAGGACCTGTAGAATTGTAGGAGTCAGAGATGAAAAAGATCTATTAGGCCATCCCGACCTTTTCTCTAATAATACAGGATTGCTCCTTATATAGTCTAGTGTTTTGTCCGGTTCAGTAATATATGTCCTAAGTGCTGGGACTATCACCACTTCCTCAGAAGACTATTCCACTTTTCCTTGTATTCAGTCTAAATTTTCCCTTTCTCGATTTCTTCTCTTCACTCCTAGTTATATATCCCTTTGTACCACCCTACATAGTTCCTCTTCTCTTTGTGTTTGTGCCTGTCATTACATCATTATGTTCCTTCCCCTAAATTGTCACTTATCCAACCAGCTCATAATGTAGCTCTTTTAATTTTGATTCCCTGATCATTTTTGGTGCTGCTCTCCCTCCAATTTGTCAATAGCTGTCCCATAAAGAGGTGCCCAGAAATGAACACCATTTTTACTAATGGAAATAGTTTTAGGTTTTAAGACAATTATTCTGTCTAAAATGAATGTGTATACACTCAGGGCCTCTGCAGACTGTCAAAATGACAACAAGATATGAAGTATTATTATTAATAGTTTAAACTTTAATCTTAATTTTTCAAAAGCAAGAGTTCCAAGGGCAGGAAATGTTTATAATACTTAGATTCTTTCTTTAAAATAAGTTTTGTAGAACTGACAGCTTTTCAAGGACTTGACAAAGAAATTTTTTGTCTAGATATTAACTGTTCTGAATCTGAATCCTTTCTACACCATCAAACGTCATGTAAGGAATGAACAAGGCTCCACCATCCCTATCTGTCCTGGGAAGCTTTTTGCATATCCTCTATGTGAAGTCTCATAGGTTTTCCCTCTCTGAGTAATGTTCAACAGAGGGATTCTTTCAGTCAGCTCCTTTGACATGTTTGACCAACTACCTAATGACATGCCTGCCATGGCAAACTCTTGCTTCATACATGTCTTAACACATGTCCCAGATATTTCCATCTTCTTTTCTGGATAGCTTGGAGATGAGAAGTTGCTGAACTCTATGATGAATCTTGGTGCTATACATTCATTCCATTTAATACTTAGCATATTCCTGAGGCATTTGCTTTGGAAGGCATATTAATATTTCAAGGCACATTTATTGAAAATACATGTTTGTACAAATTCTGTATCCACCTTTTACCGTATTTGCCCAGCTCTACATGACAACAGTAAAAATTGCATTAACTGCCTGAAATAATAAATATGGCCGGTTGAAAAACAGGATAAAGTGTTGGTGAAAATGTAGTCATTTCCCTCCCTCCTTCCTCCCACCCCATTTTATTTTTGGAAATTTCAAATTTTGATTAATTTTTTCTTCACAATTTGAAAATATTTGACCTCCCCTAGTCACAAAACATTTCATAACATTAAGGTACGTTTTTGGTCCCTGCAAATCCATAGTCAACATTTGCTAAACTTGGAACTTTACGTTTACATGGAAACCAGCAAATTGTTCTGTGGTTGCCATGTATAGTTCCCTGAATTCCGGTTCATATTTTAGGTTTGAACAAAATCAGATATCCGCCTATAATAATTTGAAACTGGATGTAGGTTCACTTACAAGCCATTTCACAAACACAAGGTGATTGAGCATGTAATGAAACCTGAAATAAACAAATTTTAATGACTTTTTTGTTTTAGCAATGTTGTTGTACCTCTTAGTTCTCATTTCATGGCATTGTAGAAATGGTTCTTTGTAGTTAGTGTGCAGCAAACTGCTCATAATGACACTTCAATATCTGTATTGTGACAATGAGACAACAAAATAGGAACAGGTGAAATTAATAGATTCTTGTACAAAGCTGTGGTGTGATTCCAGCAGCAAAAAAAAAAAATAGGTAAATGGTGAATTGAAGAAAAAGGAGCAGACCTGATACAAGGGGGTGGAGCCAAACCTGATTTGTCTCATGAGGATATTGCCAATGGTTGTAATTTACTGAAAGAGAACTCCTGCAACCATAAGAACTCACCTGAATTCCAGCACCCATTTCAAATGTCCATAAAAATCTAATCTGAGTTTTACCTATTCTTGTCACAGGGGGAAGTCTCAGTAGTAAAATCAATGTTTGGCCTTCAAAGCACAATGTAACTCATTCAATACAAGGAAGATAATAAATATAACAGAATTTTCCAGGCTATCTGAAACATTTTATCCTTCATAAAGGCTGAGTGAAAAATACCTTATTAGTAGAGATCGTCAATGGGGCTGAGTTGCAGTGAATTTTAGAACAAGTTTCAGATTCCTTTTCTACATCCTATTATGGGGTTCTTAATTGCTGGTAACTTTGGATGTGTGTAGTTTCTGTGTCCGCTGACATTTGTGTGTTTACTTCCTGTAGAGGTGCATTGCCCCATCTTCCAGAAACCTGAGAGTGTGACAGTACATCCATCAAGTTGTGGACAGGAACCATCAAAATCTGGAACAGTGTGCCAGTTGAGCTGCCCCCGGGGATTCACCTTGTCTGGGGTTAGAGAAGAACTGAGATGCATTCCTTCTGGGAGATGGAGTGAAAATGTCCAAAAGGCTCTATGTAAAGGTATAGACCTGAACAATAATTTCCACTGCATGTAGATGTGGGTTCAGAGGGAAGGGGATTGCAGAGAGACAGATAAAGATGTGTTTGAACCTGAGGCAAAGCCTGATTAAAGTGATCTTCAAAATGTACTGCTTCCGCTATTGACTGACAATAGAATTTAATATTTATTAGTTCAGCAAGATTGTTCAGGTACATTTATGATGCACCTCACCATCAGTCAGCCCTCTGGAGACCATCCCAGGTGTCCTGTTTTGTTGGGGTTCATGGTACTATGTGACTTTAAGGCCTGGGAGAAAAAGTTAAATTATAAATTCAAGAATGAAGAGGAGAAAAACCTAGGCTTTAGAGATGGCCAAAGTGAAACCAAACAATATAATAACAGTAAAAATACCAATGGGATAGCATGTGTTTATATAGTTCCTTTTATCTCAAGGTTCCTTAAGTGCTATGGAAACTTATACTAATGTGCAAAATATATGAAGGTGTTTTATCCCAGTATATCAGAGCACCCTCTGGAGTGAGGCACTAGCCAGGGCCGCCCAGAGGATTCAGGGGGTCTGGGGCAAAGTGAGGAAGCTGCGGTGCTTGTACTCACCCAGCGGCGGTCCGGGTCTTTGGCGGCATTTCGGCGGCGGGGGGCCCTTCAGTCGCTCCGGGTCTTCGGCAGCACTGAAGGGCCCCCCGCTGCCGAAATGCCGCTGAAGACCTGGACCGCCTCCGGGCCAGGGCTCACGGGGCCCCTGCGGGGTCCGGGGCCTGGGGCAAATTGCCCCATTTACACACACACACACCCCGGGCGGCCCTGGCACTAGCGCTTTTTAACAGCTTACTACTCAAAACTTTAGGGCACACAGCGAAGAGTGCTGTAATTAACTGAAGCTGCACAGGAAGTGTAGATGGTAAAAATGTAATTACATTAGTATGAATTTGGCCAGGGCTCTGGCATGAACACCGAGCTCTTTCAGAAAATATTAGATTTTTTTTTTCCATACACAAATATACTTTCAGTTTGAATGCCTGGCATTTTTCTCTGTGACATTCTGCACCTGAAACAGAATGGAGGGCCTACCAGCAGAGAGGCAGGTAGACTCTTTAGAAATGTAAAGGCACATTACAAAAAACAGAGTTATAACAGTTACTTAGCACATCACTACAGAAAGTGCCACAGGATTTCTGTTGTTTAACGGCCATAAGTAGTGAGAACCTTGATATTACTACTTATCCTAAACACCACACCTCCAGCAGCATAATGATCCCTAGTGCGTTGTTTCAGTATTGACTTGGAGGGTAGAGTCCCACCTACTGAATCAGCAGCAGCCTCCATGCTCCTGGAAGTTCTTCCATGCAAATATGGACTAGGCATAACTTATAATTAGGGCTGTCAATTAATCGCATTTACCTCACACGATTAACTCAAAAAAATTAATCGCAATTTAAAAAATTAATCACGATTAATCGCAGTTTTAATCGCACTGTTAAACAATAGAATACTAATTGAAATTTCTTCAATATTTTGGATGTTTTTCTACATTTTCATATATATTGTATTCTGTGTTGTAATTGAAATCAAAGTGAATATTTTTATTACAAATATTTGCACTGTAAAAATGATAAAAGAAATAATATTTTTAAATTCATCTCATACAGGTACTGTAGTGCAACCTCTTTGTCGTGAAGGTGCAACTTACAAATGTAGATTTTTGTTGTTGTTGTTACATAACTGCACTCAAAAACAAAACAATGTAAAACTTCAGAGCCTACAAGTCCACTCAGACCTACTTCTTGTTCAGCCAATCGCTAAGACAAACAAGTTTGTTTACATTTACAGGAGATAATGCTGCCCTCTTCTTATTTACAGTATCACTAGAAAGTGAGAACAGGCGTTTAAATGGCACTTTTGTAGCTAGCATTGCAAGGTATTTACGTGCCAGATATGCTAAACATTCATATGCCCCATCATGCTTCGGCCACTATTCCAGAGGACATGCTTCCATGCTGATGACACTCATTAAAAAAAGAATGCATTAATTAAATTTGTGACTGAACTCCTTGGGGGAGAATGGTACATCCCCTGCTCTGTTTTACCCACATTCTGCCATATATTTCACGTTATACCAGTCTCGCATGATGACTCAGCACGTTATTCATGTTAAGAACACTTTCACTGCAGATTTCATAAAATGCAAAGAAGGTACCAATGTGAGATTTCTACAGACAGCTACAGCACTTGACTCAATGTTTAAGAATCTGAAGTGCCTTCCAAAATCTGAGAGGGACGAGGTGCGGAGCATGCTTTCAGAAGTCTTAAAAGAGGAACACTCTGATGCGGAAACTACAGAACCCAAATCACCAAAAAATAAAATCAACCTTCTGCTGGTAGCATCTGACTCAGATAATGAAAATGAACATGCGTCGGTCCGCTCTGCTTTGGATTGTTATCGAGCAGAACCCGTCATCAGCATGGACGCATGTCCCCTGGAATGGTGGCTGAAGCATGAAGGGACATATGAATCTTTAGCACATCTGGCACGTAAATATCTTGCAATGCCGGCTACAACAGTGCCATGAGAATGCCGGTTTTCACTTTCAGGTGACATTGCAAACAAGAAGCAGGCAGCATTATCTCCTGCAAATGTGAACAAACTTGTTTGTCTGAGCGATTGGCTGACCAAGAAGAAGGACTGAGTGGACCTGCAGGCTCAAAAATTTTACATTGTTTTATTTTTGATGCAGTTTTTTTGTACATAATTCTAGATTTGTAAGTTCAACTTTCACGATAAAGAGATTGCACTACAGTACTTGTATTAGGTGAATTGAAAAATACTATTTCTTTTGGGTTTTTTACAGTGCAAATACTTGTAATCAAAACTGTACACTTTTTATTCTGTGTTGTAATTGAAATCAATATATTTGAAAATGTAGAAAACATCCAAAAATATGTAAATAAATGGTATTCTATTATTGTTTAACAATGCAATTAAATCGCGCGATTAATTTTTGTAATTGCTTGACAGCCCTACTTATAATATCTGATGGGATCACACCACAAGGTGACAAGGCTGTTTGGATCAAGATGAAGCCGTGTGTATTGAGACCAGGCACCCAAGGTCTACTGTGATGGGCAACAGTGTAAAACCCTAAAATAAGAGATATCAGTAGTCTCTGAAAACTGAACGTCTCTAGTGAAGATGAGGGCAGTTGCAATCTGTTGAATTTTATACAAAGAAAACATGTCCCTGCTTAGTTCTCTTTGTTGTTTATATGTATTATGTAGCCAAAATACTTCACTTATCCAAAATAATCTGTTTGCTCACTGCCTATTATTAGCCTTTCTTCAGAACTTCACTTTTAACTGGAACTTGCTACAGCTGAAAGTCCATGGTCCTGGGAGTGTGAAACACAATTGGAAGTTGTTTCAAAGAGTGTGCTTGCTATGAAAAATTTCTTCAGAGGAAGGCAAAGTGGCTTGTATTTATTGTTCATGCAGTCTTCATCATGGAATTTTAATTACCGGAGTTATAGTTTGAAATGTAAATATCTCTAGCAAAGTAATAAGAGACGTCAGTTCTTTAGCTGGTTTAAGGCCTCTCGGGCATAAAGGGTTCAGAGGTGAACGTTGTTGTCGTTGCCTAGTGAGACTGGAGACCATTTATCAAAGAGCACTCCAGTAATGAAATAATCCCGCTGCAGTGTTTGGAGAGGCTCCATGCCAGGATAACAAAGTGCTTTGGGTTTTGTGAGAGTAACTGGGGACTTAACTGTTGTTGGCCGTGCAGCACAGATTGTACCCATTGCTAGTGAAACAGAAACTCTCTGAAACTGGAGGAGGCCATTTGTCACATGTGGAACCTTTGTTTAGCAGCAGAAATTAGTCAGAGCAGCCATTCAGTCAGAGCACTCTTCCCTTGGAGTCAGTTCTAGACCATGCCCCAGCATGGTGCTAGAAAGCACTGTTCTCTTGCTCTAATTAGATGTAAAGTTGAGGTCTCACACACCTGTGGACATAAAACCTCCCATGGCACTTGTTGTAAGAGGAGAGGTGTTAATCTTTTACATTAATCAAATTTTTACTTTGGTAATTACATTCTGTCTGCTTAAGTTGCCTCATGCAGTTTCAGTTAGGCATAATGTTCTTCTATGCTCCTATCCTAAAATAATGTTGTTGTGTACTGTTAATAATACTAAACAACTTTTCAAATTCTGGCCAAGAGGGTGCTGCCTTTCAGTGGTAGGTTAAGTGAGCCATCTTTCAGGGATGTTGTGAGCTTAACTAGTTAATAGACTCCATCCTTGTCACGCAGGACTCCATTGGAGTTTAGTCATTGACTTCAGTGGGAACAGGAATTTGTAGCCATTTTTATAAAGATGCGCGAGTTTTTCAGATGAAAAGTTATTATAATAAATAGTTGGAATACCAAATTATTTCTGTCCACCTCTCACTCTCATCTCCACGAGCCTATTCCCAACGTGCCTCCCTTATCTCTGGCTACCTTCTCTTTAGAGGGGACCTAATTATGGGGCATATTAATTCATACTGTGAAACATGCCAAGGTTTGGCAAACCTCAGAGAAGATTTACGCTGGTCTGAATTATTTCCCTCCAGTAGCAATCCCACCATCTCCCTCACGCATGCACACCCACTCACAAACATATGCACATCCACACGCGCACATTCTCTATAACATATCCTGGGACATTCGCTCACGGGAGACCCTGTGTAACCCCCACGCCTCCTGGGTTTGGTGCCCTGTCCCATGTAGTGGCACCGAGACCACTTAGAGAGAGATTAACGAGTCTGCTCTACAGCCTTAGCTAATGGCCATGTGGCTTTTAGCTCATGCAGTAGAGGCTCATGCACTAAGCTCCAGCGGTCCCAGGTTCGATCCCGCCCGCTGACGACCGGGGTCTGTCAGTGTTACACCTGCACTGCTCCTTCCCTTCTAATGTCTTCAGGGATGGACTGCTGACCTATTTCCTCATCCACTTTTTTTTGGTGGTTCAGATTGTGGAGGCAGCCCCTGAGCTAGTTTTCCACCCGCCTCTGCATCCATATGAAATGTCTTCCGTGGTGATGCAGGAAACCCACCCCTTGCATTCCACATCAGCAGGATGGAGAATATTCTGGTTTCAGTGCTGCCGTTTTAAGTAGTTTTCCTCATTCTTAGACTGAGACGCTCCAGAATGCTCCTCACTAATAGGGAACTCCTGAGAACTATTGGAATAAAAGGTGGAGCCTGTGGTGGGAATAGGAGATTTTTGAGTGGGGAATAGCTGGGATGAGTCACTGATTTAGTGATGAAATGGTCAGGTTTCAACAGGATTTACTGGAGTTTCACTTGTTTTTTCGGGTTCATGTGAAAGAACTCTTGATGACAATAGGCCAGATCAGGGGTCAGCAACCTTCGGCACGCAGCCCATCAGGGTAATCCAGTAGCGGGCCACGAGACATGTTGTTTACGTTTACCCCCATCCACAGGCACAGCCACCGCAGCTCCCAGTGGCTGTGGTTCGCCGTTCCCAGCCAATGGGGGCTGTAGGAAGCGGTGTGGGCCGCAGGGACCAGGGCCGGCTCTAGGCACCAGCAAATCAAGCTGGTGCTTGGGGTGGCACATTTTTAGGGGCGGCATGGCCGGCGCCAGAATGCCACCCCTAAAAATGTGCCCCGGCCGCCCTAGCTCACCTCCGCTGCTGCTGCCACGGCGCGCGAAACAGCTGATTCGCGCACCGCCTCGGCTCGGGGTCTCCCCCTCCCTCCCAGGCTCTCAAACCTGGGAGGGAGGGGGAGATCCCGAGCGGCCGTCTCGCGCGCCGCTGCTCCCCCTCCCTCCCTCCCTCCCAGACTTGAGAGCCTGGGAGGGAGGGGGAGAAGCGGCGCCCGCTCCGCGGCCACTCGGAGTCTCCCCCTCCCTCCCAGGCTCTCAAACCTGGGAGGGAGGGGGAGATCCCGAGCGGCCGCGGGGCGCGAAACAGCCGTTTCGCGTGCCGCTTCTCCCCCTCCCTCCCTCCTAGGCTTGAGAGCCTGGGGGGAGGAGGCAGGGCTGGGGATTTGGGGAAGGGGCGGAGTTGAGGCGGGGCCGGGGGGGGCGGCCAAAATTGTCTTTGCCTTGGGCAGCAAAAATCCTAGAGCCGGCCCTGGCAGGGACGTGCTGGCCGCCGCTTCCTACAGCTCCCATTGGCCGGGAACGGTGAACCGCGGCCACTGGGAGCTGTGGGGGGGCCGGGCCTGCGAACGGTCAATGTAAACAACATGTCTTGCAGCCCACCAGCGGATTACCCTAATGGGCCACGTGCCGAAGGTTGCTGACCCCTGGAGCCAGATCCTTAGCTGGTGTGAAGCAATGTGACTCCATTGCCTTCAGAGAAGTTATGGCAATTTATACCTGCTGAAGATTTGTCCTGATGAAGCTGCCAATCGGAGTTCCCCAAAGTTGTGTGAATACAACAAACTGCTGGGTTTCGATAGTCCTTCTTGGGAATGCTTGTCTTCTAGGACTGAATGTGCTTTTGTTTGAGAAAATGAAGTATTTATAAACAAAAAACATGCAAAGAATTACACTGACTTTGCAAATGATTATAAGCAAAACTATAGGTGTCATTTTGATTCTCCCACTTTCCCACCAGAATCCCCATAAAACAAATTTTTGTGCCATGACCTTAAAAAATGGTGTATTTTTAGGGTAATTAAAGCTCAATCACTTTTGATATGAGTTCATAACTTCTTGTCAAGAAATAGGGGAATAAAGTAGCCATTCCTCATCGATGAATAGATGTGTTGTTTTAATAAAAGGCAACTGTGGTGTTAAAACAAACCCTCGTTCTATTAGTATTATTTGTAGTATGATAACGCCTAGAATCCAATGACCCACTGTGCTAGGCTCTGTACAAAAATATAATGAAGAGACAGTGCCCACCCTGAAGAGCTTGCAATCAAAGTGTAAGAATATAGGTAAGAGGTGGAGAAAGCAAACAGGTGCAAAATGAAATAATGAGATGATACTAGTCACCTTGATAAACAATGCACACAGCAAGCCAACTGAGTAACCATTATTGATTTTTTTTCTCTCTCTCTCTCTCTCTCTCGATTAGATTTTGAAGCTCCTCAAATCAGCTGTCCAGACAATATTGAGGCCAGGACTCTGGAACATCATAACTCTGCTAATATTAGCTGGCAGGTTCCAATAGCAAAGGATAACTCTGGAGATGAGGTAGAGCTAAAACATATACACTTTATTTTGATGCAATCCCTTTTCAGGTAGCTGTTTTAGAGCTCTGAAATGTCGCTAAGCCATTAGAATATCTTGTTTCTTGGTGAGAAGAAGTAGAGAGAACTGTTGTAAACTAGTATCTTCAGAATTCAGCATTTTCTCTGTTAGATTTATGTGGTTACTGAATACCCTGTGTGGTGTTTTTGTATGCATACAGTTCTGTACAGTTAATTTATGCAGTCAAAAGAAAGAATGGCTCCTTGTTTATTAAATACAGAATGGCATTTTAAAAAGGAGCTCAGAATATGAAGGAGTTTAGTACTCTGCCTTCCATAAGATCCGGTCCTTCCTCGAGGAAATAAACCAACTCATAACACTCAAAGGCTAAAAAGAGCCCACTGTGATAAGTGAAAACTCATCACAGCACCATACAAGAAATACGATCCCATTTCTTTACCATGATCAAGCTTCATATACAGGCCAGCAACTTCCACTGAAGTAGGTGGTGGTGTATTAATTTAGATGGACTGTCCAGGCCAAAGGTGCTAACATAATCGAATCACTGTCCAATGTTAAACAAGATCCAAGTCTGGTAAACAGAGATTTCAGCCTGCTTAGTAACATGGCAAACACACCATTAAAATCCTTTTGACTTTTTTATTAAAGGTAAAGAAAAGAAGGAAAAACAGTTAAAGCATTTGAAATGTAAAGTATTAAGTAAGGCTTTTGTTTTAAAAACATCCCTCGTTCACTTTTGCTGGAGAAAGCTTTTAGAAGGAAAAACCCCTTAGCAGGGCCGGCTCCAGGGTTTTTGCCGCCCCAAGCGGCGGGGAAAAAGAAAAAAAAAAGCCGTGATCGTGATCGGCAGCACTTCAGCGGCAGCTCCACTGTGCCGCTTTCTTCTTCGGCGGCACTTCGGCGCCAGGTCCTTCCGAGAGCGACTGAGGGAGCCGCCGCCGAATTGCCGCGGAAGAGCCGGATGTGCCGGCCCTTTCCCTTGGCCTCTCCAAGCACCTGCTTGCTGAGCTGGTGCCTGAAGCCAGCCCCGCCCCTTAATCTGACAGTCTCTTATTCAGTGGCTCTCAACCTTTCCAGACTGCTGAACTCTTTTCAGGAGTCCGGTTTGTCTTGCGTACCCCCAAGTTTCACCTCACTTGAAAACTACCGTACTTATTTACAAAAACAGACACACAAATACAAAAGTGTCACAGCACACTATTACTGAAAAATTGCTTACTTTCTCATTTTTACCATATAATTATCAAATAAATCAATTGAAATATAAATATTGTACTTACATTTCCATGTATAGTATATAGAGCAGTATAAGCAAGTCATTCTCTATATGAAATTTTAGTTTGTACTGACTTCACTAGTGCTTTTTATGTAGCCTGTTGTAAGACTAGGCAGATATCTAGATGAGTTGATGTACCTGCTGGAGGACCTCTGCGTAGCCCCATGGGTACCCATACCCCTGGTTGAGAATCACTGACTTAGATGGTATCAAAGATGGTGATAAGTGTCCTTTTGGGAACAAGAGAAGAAGTTATTTGAGTTGGGCTGGAGCTGTTCTTAAAGTCTAATCCCGTTTCATCCCGGGTGGAATTCAGCTGGAGCCAGGGGAGGTGGCGATGTCATCTGGGTCCCTCTCTTTGGCCCAGTCTGGTCAGGATCAGGATGACGAAGGCATGGGGTCTTCATGGAGATGGTGGGGGTGGCTGCCATGAGGGTGAAGCTCACTCTAGTAGCCAATTTTTCTCCCCAAGTCTCTTTCTTTAAGGACCCCTCAAGGGAATGGTGGGAGAAATAGATCATCCCCTAATTATTTTGTCCACCAATTAGGCCTACTTTCAGACACACCAATTTTGGTTCACTGATTTCTGGTTCCATGCTTTTCTTGTTTACCAAGCATGATCTTAGCATAGTCCTTGAGTTATATCAGTAGGCCTTTTTGTTGGGACTAATACAGTCTTTTTGTCACCCTTTCGTACCTTTTCCCATCAACATTTGTTATTAGCGATTATTGTAACAACTTATGAACTTTCATGTGCTTTTTACAGTTGAGCTCACAATTGGGCTAAATTTGTAGCCCAATGATTACAACAATGGGTGGTCTACGTGTGTATCCAATGGCAGAATTTTCCCCCAAACTGTTTTGTAAAGAGTAATGTGCTCTGAGTTACAACTCTGGCCAGTGAAAACTTTGATTCCCAGTTGAGCTGCTTACATTCGTGTGGGCCTGATTCTCATTTATATTAAGGTCCCTTGCATTACTTTGGCCATATGAAGAAGCCTGTAAGAGGGTGTAAATGTAATTTATGCACAATTTATGGCTCTTCTAAACTGCTAAAGGATATAAAGCATTCTTAGTGTAAATGAGAATCAAATCTACATGCATCCAAACACGTAGAGGTTTAATTTCAAAGGATTACATTACATGCACATTTTGTAAAATACAAATATGTGATTACTGACCCATGTGTGTGTTTAAATAACAAACGTCTGTTCCTCTAAAAGGTCTCAATTCACGTTACTCCAGCTTTTGTACCACCTTCTCTTTTCCCCATTGGAGAAGTTGTGATCACTTACATAGCAGTGGACAAGTCCGACAATCAGGCAAGCTGCACATTCAGTGTCAAGGTTATTGGTAAGTGCTATTCAGCAGTACCTGGGAAGGATTCTGACAAAGATAAAACTTTCATTTGTGCAGAAGGAGGCTCTGATTCACCCTGGCATTTAAGCGCACACCTAATTTTAAGCATGTGAATAGTCCTGTTGAATTCACATGCATAAGTGCCTGGCTGAATGGAGGCCATCATTTGCATAATATAGTAATTGCTGTCAAATGCTGGATTGTCTGTTTGGATTGGCTGCAGCTAAAGCATTTGTTCTTAATTTGGGGCTTCCCCACATTTCGTAAATAAAGCGCATTAATCTGTCAAAACATAAGCAGACAATAGGGTTAGTTATGTGGCATGCGTGTTGTGTTTACTCACAGACCATTGTTTTTAATTCCTGACTGAATGTCTCCCAAACCCACAACGAGCTTTCAAAATGACCACATATTTCCAATGAGATAAATCATGCAAGTATTTGTTTGCCCAAGTATTTGAGACATGCTCTCTCTTTCAGTGAACTGTCTTATGAACAAAAATTCACTCTTTGAAAAGTTTACAGAATGCAAATAAAATGGATGGTGAATACAGCTGATGCCAATGTGCAATTTTTGTCTTTGAGCAAATGTTCTTGAATCCTTTTTTGCAGTGTCCACTTAGTTCTAGTGATGCTGCTGCATAGAGGCGAGAAGGTATATTTCTCTGTCGAGTTAGCTGGGAGGTTATCAGTGGCGGGAGACGCTATCTTAGCTTTATGAAGGGAAAGGCAACTTTCTGCCTTCTGCAGTTTGGCTTGGCTGATGAGTTTAAATAAATTGTTGAATAAGTACATAACATGAGATGGTTTTGATGGATAAATATGAGGTGAGGCATGTTGTGATGACACCTGCAATGTTGTTCTCTGTTGAGCCTAATTCTTCTCTCACACCAGTTTTCCACCAATTTCAAGCAGAGTTGCACCTGAAATCCACAAAGCCTGTGACAGCAGAGTCTGGCCCTTGTATTTGTAATTACACATTTAACAAGCCATCTGGCTGATGTATTTCTTGTTCCCTTTGGTAGTAGTATACATAGGCAATTCAAACTTGGTGGGATATATTTAGCAATGATAATGTAGGTGATAGTTTAAGTTACACATCCGGTGCATGTTGGTTAGCAAATGTGTGCAACTTGTACCAATTTGACATTTAGTTGTATGCAGAGCAAGTGTTACTTATACCAGTTTATTATTCTGGGGACCAGATTCAGACTTCCATAAGTGTATGTAACTCCTTTCCCATTGACTTTAGTGGGTATTGTTCCTGTTAGACCTGGACTGAATTTAGTCTTCATTGTGATAGGGATACTTCAATGTAAGCTAGAGTAAAAGGGTGGCTGTTTATATAACATCCTCCTGTTCATTGCTTTTTCTGATACCCCACTCTCTCCTGCCGCTTCTACATATGAATTACACTCACTTCATATATTTGCTCAGTGCCAAATCAGCATAAATTACACTGCTTTCCCACTTACACCCATTCTCTGGGACACATACCTGATGTCTAACTTAAATGATATTTATGTCACTTCCTGAATTTTGCCCAGCGTTCTATTGGAATGGCATCCGCTCATTCTGGTGTGTGTTTGGCTTGATACCTTGGTGTCTGCTGTTATTTTTAATCTCTAAACTCAGTCAGAGCCAGCGCTCGGGTAAATTCAGTGAATTAGGTATTATGAATTGGTGGCTATCTGTGTTCTATCAAGGATAGCTCAGTTGTTTCAGGACAGTGGGTTTTCAACCTTTTTTCATTTGCGGACCCCTAAAAAATTTTAAATGGCGGTATGGACCCATTTGGAAATTTTAGATGGGGGTCGGCAGACCTCCTGGTGTCCGTGATCCACAGGTTGAAAACCACTGCTTTAGGAAACTTAAGTGGCTGTTTATGTAGCTTGAGCCAAAGTCTTGTTGGTCAACTGGAGACTGTTGGTAAATTTTTCTGACAGTGGACCAACCTCAGAGGCACAATAAACAGTGGAGTAAATTATACATTATTTAGTGGGCGTAAGATAGTTTACATTGCTCAACAAGGCAGCCCAAGGGTGGGACTGTGCAGGAAAGACATTCAACCAGAGAGTTTAAAATAAAGCCACTCTCCCTAATTTATCTTCTGATGCTTTTCCTGGTCTAACCCTGCACTTCCATTCTTTTGGCATATATATTACAGCAGCTTACTCTCAAACACACACCCACTTATCCAGTTTTACAGATGTGGAACTTAAAACACCCTTCACATCACCTCTGAGTTTGACCCATGACTTGTCTACTGTTCTGTGATCAAATTTCACGCTGTCTCTTCAACTTCTCTAGATGTAGAATCCCCTGTAATCGATAGATGCAGATCTCCACCTCCAATTCAGGTATTGGAGAACGAGTACAGAGCAACATGGGAGGAGCCTCAGTTCTCGGACAACTCAGGTGAGATAATGCAGCTCAAGTATATTCGAAACAGCCGAAGAGCGGTTAGGTCCATACAGTTCCTACATGGCACCCCTGGGATTAGGATATCATTTTTTAGCAACATACCAGTTTGAACAGGTTTGATTCAGTGCTTACCATGGTTGAGCACATCTGTTACCGAGAAAATTAAAAAGTCTAAATTGTCCATTGTGTAATCAGCCTCTGTAGGGACAGCTGCAATATACTAGGCCAGAAAAACCTTTTCATTGATTTTTTTTAAACAACTCTAGGAGCGGCCCTGACTATCACTAAAAGTCATTCACCTGGAGATCTCTTCCTCAAAGGAGAGACAACAGTTCAATACACTGCCACAGACCCCTCAGGAAATAACAGGACTTGTGAGATCCACATTGTCATCAAAGGTTTGTTATTTGATCGTCTTCTGGCCATTGACACAAAATTATGTAGTACTGGTAAAAATGCAATTATACATATCAGTCACCATCAGTCAGTTTAATGTTCAGTGCTATGAATAATTCACTGGTAAGTAACAAGTGTGTGTGTAATATAATACTTGTTATAAATGTGCATATGTATACAGCACCAATGTGCTTTTGCATTCCAGTCTCACTGTTTTACACCAGTGTAACTCCAGTGAAATCAGGTCGATCAATAAAATCAATTGAGTTATATGGCAAAACTCTGGAGTAACAGAGTAGTGTACTCCATACATTCAAAATAGGTATAAAAGCCACTAAAGGTTTTACTCAGAAGTCCAATAAAACTTCAGGCAGTTGTCCAATTATTTGTCAACAAGAAGCATAGCCTAAAATGTGGTCTACTTTCTGTTCAGCAGAATGGAAGATTTCTCTGGACAGATTTTTTTTAATAAACTGCTAATATCCTAACAGGAAACGGAACACTTTCTAGCCTTTATAATTGAGTTTACACATGTATATGTGTGCATAAGTATGGGGGTATGTATTATATGGAGGAAAAAAAGCGGGAGGGGCGGGGGAGAAAGAGAGCCCCAACCAGCGGGCCAACAATCAGTTAGGAAAATCAATCACTCAGAAGTTAGCAAATGCAGATTTACGGTTGAAAATTCAACTTTAACTCGGCCCCCTACTGCGTACGCCTTAAAACTGGGTCTCACTTTTACATCATGGTAAATTATTTAATTAATACAATATTTAATATTGTATAAACTGGAATTTTGTGTCTATCCTTAGAAACAGTAAGTTACAGGAGTACATACAGTCTTCAGATTTGGAATGATTTTTAAGTCTCAGTGAGACCTACAGAACAAGCCAAGTTTGAATAATACAAATTTGGTTGTTTCAAAATTATGAATATTGAGAGACTTCAAAGTGAAACTTAATTCAATTTTTTTAATTGATTCAAAGATATTGGGGTTTAGAACATTAGGCTCACTTCACTTGTTCTCTGATTTGGCTTTATTTCAAGCTCTTGGATATTTCAAACTCAGTATCATCTCAAACTCTTGGCCACTGAACGTCAAACACTAACAATTTGAAAACTACTATAAACCTATTTTCTTCACACTTGGCTTGTTAATTATATTTTACTGAGGCTTTAAAAATCTGCCCAAATCTGAAGATTATAGGTCTGATTTTGATCACTTATACACTAGCATAAATCAGGAGTAACTCCACTAAAGTCAATAGAATTCCACCAGTGTAAGGCTGATTGACATCAGAATCAGGTACTATATGTAATGTACTGTAACTTACTGTGTGTACGGTTGTGTAAAAGGTTCTAGTTAATATTATAGATTCATAGATTCTAGGACTGGAAGGGACCTCGAGAGGTCATCGAGTCCAGTCCCCTGCCCGCATGGCAGGACCAAATACTGTCTAGACCATCCCTGATAGACATTTATCTAACCTACTCTTAAATATCTCCAGAGATGGAGATTCCACAACCTCCCTAGGCAATTTATTCCAGTGTTTAACCACCCTGACAGTTAGGAACTTTTTCCTAATGTCCAACCTAGACCTCCCTTGCTGCAGTTTAAGCCCATTGCTTCTTGTTCTATCCTTAGAGGCTAAGGTGAACAAGTTTTCTCCCTCCTCCTTATGACACCCTTTTAGATACCTGAAAACTGCTATCATGTCCCCTCTCAGTCTTCTCTTTTCCAAACTAAACAAACCCAATTCTTTCAGCCTTCCTTCATAGGTCATGTTCTCAAGACCTTTAATCATTCTTGTTGCTCTTCTCTGGACCCTTTCCAATTTCTCTACATCTTTCTTGAAATGCGGTGCCCAGAACTGGACACAATACTCCAGCTGAGGCCTAACCAGAGCAGAGTAGAGCGGAAGAATGACTTCTCGTGTCTTGCTCACAACACACCTGTTAATACATCCCAGAATCATGTTTGCTTTTTTTGCAACATCATCACACTGTTATGTATTATGTTAATAGATGAATAATTTAGCATGCTCTAAAGAGACCCCAGTTTTAAGCAAAAGCATACAGGGCTTTCAGTTTTGCATTTCCACGCTTTTGGTGCTTGATTTTTTTTCAACCTTTGCGTTTCTGGATTTTAAACTCCCGCGATGGGATTTTCAAAAGTGCTTAACATTTGCCTAATTTTCCTTCCATTGAAGTCAATAGTAATACTCCTGTTGATTTCAGGGGAAGCAGAATTAAACCAAGTGCTTTGAAAATCCTATCCCTCAGGGTTTCCTGTATACTTGTTTATATTACTCTAAAAGCGATCCTTATGTGAACGGAATATATTTTTTCACAGGTTCTCCCTGTGAAATTTCCTTTACCCCAGTGCATGGGGATTTTATATGCATAGAAGACGAAGCAATTGTTAACTGCACATTACGCTGCATGGATGGTTATAACTTTCCAGCAGGGTCAACTGAAAACTACTATTGTGCCTATGAGGATGGTATCTGGAAACCACCATATTCTACTGAATGGCCTGACTGCTCTTGTGAGTTTTACTTTGATTATTAACTTTTGTTTTTCTGCTCTAAAATGAGCTTGTAATGTCTCCAACAATATTTATAGTTTGGAATGTGATTCAATAACTAGAAATTATAACTGTTTGACATGATAAATTTTCTATTGTCCCTTCCCCTGAACTGTTAAGAGCCTTGTACAAAAAGGGTTTTAGGATTACAATATATTGTTTCATAAACTGGATAAAATATAATAATAAATTTGAGTCTTTGGGGTTTACAAGATAGCAATGGAAACAAAATCTGCATGGCATGTTGGTTTAAAAAAAAAAAAAAGGTTGAAATAATTTGTCTAGACCAGCGGTTCTCAAACTTCATTGCACCGTGACCCCCTTCTGACAACAAAAATTACCACATGACCCCAGGAGGGGGCACCGAAGCCTGAGCCCACCCAAGCCCCACCACCTTGGGGGGAAAGAGGGGACAAGCCCAAGCCCAAGGGCTTCAGCCCCAGGCGGGGGGGCCTGTAACCTGAGCTCCGCCACCCAGGACTGAAGCTGAAGCCTGAGCCCTGCTGCTCAGGCCTGAAACCCTTGGGTTTCAGCTTCGGCCACAGGTGCCGATTTTTCAAAGTGCAGAGGGGTGCTCGACCCCTGGCTCTGCCCCAGGCCCTGCCCTTACTCCACCCCTTCCCCCAAGGCCCCACCTCTTCCTGCCCCCACTCCACCTCTTCCTGCCCAGTTATGCCCCCTCCCCCAAGCGCGCCACATCCTAGCTCTTCCTCCCTCCCTCGCAGCTTCCTGCACGCCGCGAAACAGCTATTCACAGCAAGCAGGAGGCGTGGAGAGGGAAGGGGAGGCGCTGATTGAGGGGGCCTGCCGGTGGCCAGGAGGCGCTGCAGGGAGGGGGAGGTGCTGACCCGTGGAGCTGCCAGTGGGTGCTAAGCACCCACCATTTTTTCCCTGTGGGTGCTCCAGCCCCGGAGTACTCATGGAGTCAGTGCCTATGGCTTCGGCCCCAGGAGGTGGGGCTTGGGCTTCGGCTTCAGCCCTGGACCCTAACAAGTCTAACACCAACCAAGGTGACCCCATTAAAACGGGGTTGTGACCCACTTTGGGGTCCTGACCCACAATTTGAGAACCCCTGGTCTAGACTACTAGTGTTGTTACAACTGGAGGAATGGATAACGAAGCTTTAATAAGCTGTTTACAAAAGTTTTTTGATCTATGGCAAGCTAGACTCTCTCAACCCAGCCAAAATTCCAGTGCAGTTGTGCAAATTAAAATGCATTAAAAATAACTTCACAAAATATAGTCCCTTGATCTTAACCAAATTGTGATCCAACCTGTATTTATCAGAAGTTTCTAATTTGAGATGTGTCCAATCAAAACCTCAGCTTGGACAGCGCCAAACTCTGATGTCATATGAAATCCAAATCTGAATATAGACCAGATACTTCAAATGAAGCCAATGTTTGTGATGGATTGTACACTCCCTTTCTCACACAAGTAGCCCCCATAGACATCAACACAAGTCAGGGTGTTCTAATTATGGGTCAACCCAAAATCCTTGATCTGAATACCCCAGAGTTTTGGGTTGCTTGAAATCTGAATCAGAATTTTGCATTTGGAGCCAAGCTGTATTAGTAATAAGCATTAATTTCTCCCTCTCAGGTGTATTCAAAAATACATGCTAAAAGGTTTGATGGTTTAAAAAAAAAATCCATAAAACGAACAGATTCTTTTCCATTAGGAAAATGCTGAATCATGTCAACAATGGTTATTTAATAGCTAGGAACTTCTACACTAAATTGTTCAATACAGTGTGTGTACTGGAAATGTAATTACTATCCATGGATTTCAGTTGTTGCCACATTGTGCTCTATCTGATGAAAGTAGTTGGATATATTTTATTGTAACAGTCAAGTTTACCAGCTTTTTCTTCTGTCCTTATATTCCTCTGTTGTGACCTATATTTAACGATAACCCATTGAGTTCAGATAATTTTAGTATAATCCTGTCCATAGTATCCTTTTGAAACTATTACTCTAAAATCACAAACAATAAAAGCGTCTTTCCCCAACTCTTTTCAGTAAATCGTTTTGCAAATCATGGGTTCAAGTCTTTTGAGATGCTCTACAGAGCAACGCGATGTGATGACAGCAACCTTCTAAAAAGCTTTGCTGAGGCTTTTCAGAGTGCGCTTGGTAAAATGGTAGGTTAGTAATACTCTTTCATTTTTCATAAACCTTTTTTTACCAATATGTTGTCATTTTTTTCCTAACTGTTCTTTTACTGTATCCCTTAGACACTTGAAAGGGAAGTCTGTTCCATTTCAAAATATAAAATGTCTCCATTATAGGCAAAGTTCGTTGGTTTGTTATTGTAGGGATTGCTGTGCAAACCCTTGTACCGTTGTTTGCATCCATAAATCGGAGAGTTAACCGTAGTCTTTGTCTTGGAGTTTTGGTAAGATTTTCAAAAGTGCCTTGTGACTTAGGGCTTGTCTATTTGAACCCTGAGTATATATCTACCCGCACTAAGTGTCCGTGTGGACCCTGCTGCTGCATTATAAAGGCTCCACTTTGATCTACTGTGCGCTTTGATCTACTCCTGTTTACACCCCCAGATTGCTGCATACTAAGTGTTTTTGTATAGACGAGCCCTTAGGAGCCCAAATCCTATGGATTTACAATGGGATTTGTGCCCCTAAGTCATTTAGGGTGTCTACACAGCAGGCAGGAGCAAGCCAGCGGGGCTCTGAAAATAGCTGGGTAGATAGCGCTTTAAAATTGCCACTTCGGCGCTGAAGTGTAGGGAGGGGGGTGGGCTTGAGAGACGAACTCCAGCCTAAGCCACAACTTCAAAGGGCCGTCTGCACAGCTATTTTTAGGGCGCTAGCCCCGCTAACCCACGTCTGTTGGGTTGACCCAGGCTGGGAGGTTCGCTTCCATGGGCTGTGTTGATGCACCCTTTGATGCTTTTGCAAACCCCACCCTGCACCCCCAATATAGCACTTTTCTTGACATTCGGGGACTATGGCAAAAAATTCAAATCTGGGTCCTAAATTTAGGCACCTAAATCCAGAAGTCGGTACCTAAATTATTAGCCTTCTGTTCCGAGCTGTGGCATCCTGATCGCTGATATTATAATCAATAAGAGCTCCCAGTACTCAACATCTTTGAAAACCTGGCCACCTAAAGACAGATTTATCTGCTGAACTTTCTTTGAACTTGTATGCTGAATGCCTGGGTGACCTGCTCAAGCCACAGAGCACACTGTTGTCAGGCCTGGTGACCTGCTGGGTCCTGATCTGTGCTCAGGCCAGTAGTTCACAACTAGTGGGACACAGTCTTGAAGCGGGTTATGAGAGGGTTGCAAGTAAGTTGCACTGTACCATCTGAGAAAGCAGCAAACTCACTAGGACCCAGGTATGCTGGATGCGAAGGAGTAGCATGCTCCCTTGTCCCTCTGTGTGTCCTGCCTCCACCCCAGCTCTATACATTCCTGTCCATCATCCCAGAGCAGATCCTCGGCCCCTTTCTTCCCCACACTTGTCCATTGCGTGGCTCCAGGCAGAAGAAGCAGTACTTCGAGGGGCTTTGGAATCTGCTTCCCTGCCGATTGAACCAGTGCTGCCCCAGAACTGAGGGCTGTGTGGGTAGAGGACAACGCAGAGGGGAGAAGAGAAAAGCACCACCAACCAAAGCATCTTCTCCCCACAGAAGCATCATCAACCCCCCAGCCCAGCAGCCCTCATTGTCATACAATTTTATTTGGCTCACAAACCCCAAAGACTTCTGAGTTACTGCAGTCACCTGATGCCGCGCTCTGAATGGTGCAGGACAGACGCAAGACTTCAGAGTCATTCTCTGATTGAAGACATCTGTGTCGTTCCCTCCTATTGGCTCAGCTTTATTTTCTTTCTGTGGAAGATCCTGGCTGGTTTTCCTTCCATTCCTCCTCTTTGATAGCATATTATCAACTGTGCGTGAGCCCAAAGTGCCGAGTAAAAACATTAGCTAAAATGACAAGCATGGAAAACTGAACATAAGAACTCAAGTTTACTGGTGAAAAACACTTGAAGATCTGCCCAAGCATTTACATTAAAGTGCAATAAGCTGGAGAAAGCAAATCCAAAAGTCCATTTAAGTATGTCCAATCCATTTCCAAAGACTCTTGGAATCCCAGCAGTGATCCAACGGGGAAAAAAATAAATCACCAGCTTCCAAACACACAAGCCACAGGGATAAGCGCCTAGTGAGAGGCGAGGGGGAGAAAGTAAACGCTAACAAAAGCCACTTCCTTGGACACATCCTGCAGGAAGGATATCCTGAAAAGCAACAGACTGGGTTAAATCAAAGAAAGCTCAGCTGCCCCTGCATTCAGCTCTGACGTGGTCACCACTCCCTTCATTGAGGGGGCAATTCTCCCTTAGCCATGGAAGTTCTGTGCAAAGTTCTCTGCACTGCTTAAGCACCAGCTAGGAGTTGCACAAGGGGAATGCAGGTGGAACAGCTATGCAATGATGCCTTTGCCTCTTCTATGTCTTTCTGTTGGCCCTAGCCCGATACAATACCCATGCAACTCGCATGAAAAGGCTACGGCTGTTAAAGCAGGGCAGCTTCACACCTGCCTTCACAATGCAGGTGGATTTTACCTCTGCGTCCCCTCCATGCTCAACCCACATTCAGTCCAAATGTTCAGGCTTCAAATTGCATGCAAACTATGGAGATACATCACATCATCTCCATTCTTCTTCTCCCATCCATTACCCTGCTATGAAATTATACCAAATGGATATAGTGAATTCACTGCAGCGCAGAAAATATTTTCCTCTTTAATTTTATAGCCTATTTTCTTTTGTACAGTGTGATGGTATAGCATGTTACAATCTACTCTCGCTGTAACACCGTCTTTTATTGTAAGGTTTTATTGAGGAGAGACTTGCAGTTTTGTTTAGGGCTAATAAAATCTCCCCGTAGGATCAAATTACTGTAAATTTCCATTGGTTTCACAGGAAAGCTTTCTTCATCTGCAACCTACTATGTTCAGCGGTATTTCAGTAAGATCTCTGTCTATAATATTATAAACCCACTTAAGTGAAACAGTGAATTGTACTTTAAAGCATACTCCAGTGGGGAAATGAATCTTTTGAACAATAAATCACCAGGCCTAAAAGCAAATAGTTCTGCACTTTTATAGCACTTCCATCTGAGGATCTTACAAAGCTTTACAGACGTTAATGAGTTAAGCACCTACACCATGGTGGCATTGGGAAGTACTGTTATCCTTATTTTGTAAAATAGAGGCCCAGTGAAGTTAAATGAATTACCCAAAGACACACAGAGCTAGAGCTGGGACTGGGATCTAGATCACTAACATTCCATTTTGTGCTTTAATACAAAACTATTCTTCCTCTCAAGTGATTTTCCTTATTGTGCATATATCCTTGCAAGAATTCTGACACTGCACAAGTTCCCACAAAGGTGAGAGGAAATCCTGAACGCACGAGATTTAAATGGTTTGATTGTAATAGCTATGCAGGATGAAATCTGATGTCAGAGAACAGGCAAGACTGGGTACTTTGTCCTGAGATTAGATTATATGTTAGTCTGTTTGTTTAATAGCTTGTCTATTTCTATTTACAGGTCCCATCGTTCTGTAATGATGTCGATGACATTGACTGCAGATTGGAGGATTTGCCACAGAAACATTGCCTAGAATATAATTATGACTATGAAAATGGATTTGCAATTGGTAATTTAATTACTGTGTCGCTTGCTAGCCATAGAGGTTTAATGTGGTTTAAATACATTTAGCTCTGCTAAGCCATGATGTGGTGGGTACATTTAGCTCTTGTAGATTTAAGCATGCTGTGTGGAAGATTTAAAGAAAATAATTACAGAGCACTTGAGACACTAAACAGTTAAACAGTAGATCTGAGAAAATATTACAGTAGCCTGTCTGTTTCATACACTGCACATGTTGGGGAAAAGATGACTAAGGTGCCTCATACTATACAAGAACAATAAAACTATGAAACTGTTTGGCTAGTCTTGAAAGAAAACGGGTTTTCAAAAACCATACATTTTGAAACCAAAACATTGAAGAAGGAGACAGGGTGACTCTGGGAATTGTTAATGTAACTGAGGGGAGTCTTTCATTTTTGTCACTGATTTAAATCAAACCTGACATATGTGCACAAGTTTACATATTAGCAGTAAGTAAGGATAACTGTGGGCTTAAGACTGCAGGATTGGGGCCTTGGTTAGCGACTGAAGGTAGTTAGGAGGAAACGATGAAATCTCCACTGACATCTCTGGAATTTCTTCACATTTACATCTGTGTAGCTGAGATCAGAATTTGGCTCATGTTCTTTAGCGACGATAGTTTAAAAGATCAGTTATGAAATAGTCACAGAACGTAATTCCAAGGTTCTGGGGTTAATTTGCCATTAGTTACTTATAATCTAAATAACGATGCTCAGTTATATGCAAAGATTATTTATACTTCGTTTTTTTTCTAAAAAGAGATGCTGAATGGAACAGGCAAAAGTTCTTCAATTCCAACCATTATAAAAAGACACATTACGTACAGAACCACTTATTTAAACAGTCCAGGCCAAATGAATATATGTACAATTTATAACTTTAGGGGTGTAACACCAGGTATAAATTTGACCCAATATGCTTAATATGGACTGGATAGCTAAGGGGATTGGAGGTGGAGTCTTTTGCCACTAGGGGATTTATATGAGTGAGACCCAGTTCAGAAGTGACCAGATGTGTTAAGCTCACAGCTGTTCAGTCTCCTACATAAAATGAGTGTGAGGGTCTAGTTCCTCCTGGACAGATGCCCACATCTCAGAAACCACTATGCGGTGGCATTTGTTGGCACTCTTGGGAATGAACCAAAGGCCTGAATGAGCATGGAGACAGAACTCCCTTCCGACCACTTTTGCTTCTTGTTGCAGGACCCGGTGGCTGGGGCGCAGCAAACCGTCTGGATTATTCCTACGATGACTTCCTTGACATCGTGCAGGAGGAACAGCTACAAACGCCTCTCTCTGGCGCTGTGAAAACAGCGCCCTCCCGGGTCAAGAGACACAAAAAACTCAACATTCCAATGACCGATCACAAAATTAAGTTAATATTTAATATCACTGGTGAGGAAAAACTTCCCTTTCCTGCTCCCGCTTTTTATAATTTATTCTTAACAAAATATTATATTGTCTGGAGTTCATGAAGCCAGCAGGAAATGCAGGCTACAGGCTTCTCACTGAGTTTATAGCCACATTTTCTCACTCGCTCATTTCTTGGGTAGCATATTTGTGTGGTCAGCACTATATATACTATATATTGCCCACTTTACATTTTGGTACAACGTGGGTTTGTGTGGTCAATTCCCGTTGACCATAGTAACAATGATCACTGCTTTTTTGGTCCACTCTTATAGACTACTGCGGCCTGAATAGCAATAAAATCTGTAACACACTGTGTATGCCTGTGGTTTCTTTTTATATTCCAGCTAGTGTGCCGTTGCCCGATGAAAGGAATGATAGTGTGGAATCAGAAAACCAGCAGCGGCTTCTTAAAACTCTAGAGACTATCACAAACAGGCTGAAAAGGACACTCAAAAAGGAACCCATGTATTCTTTTCAGTTTGCCTCAGAACTGGTTGTAGCTGACAGCAACTCACTGGTAACTGAGAAAGCCTTTCTGTTCTGCAGACCAGGTTCAGTTCTGAGAGGGCGAATGTGCGGTAAGCCAAAAGCTCTGTATCTCCTGGGCCTTATATCCTGTATATGTGATTTAAAAAAAAAAAAAAAAAAATTGGGGGAGATATTTGTTTGGAATGGGGTATTGGCACAGGCATCACAGGATTGCAGTAGCTGAGACCTGCCAAAGCAATTTATTATCTAATGCTTTGTGCAGTCTGCTTTCTGAAGGGAGGGCTGCTCCAAAAAATGGCTATGTAAAAATACGCCTTACCTAACAGTTCTGCTCCCTGTATGAACTTGATCACATTGATTCACACTGCTGATGAAAATGCTTATTCACAGCCTTTACTACGGTTAGCCCTGCCATTTCAGCATAGCTGAGAGAGAGAGTGAGCTGGATCCTATTCATAGATCATAGAAGATTAGGGTTGGAAGAGACCTCAGAAAGTCAGCTAGTCCAACCCCCTGCTCAAAGCAGGACCAACCCCAACTCAATCATCCCAGCCAGGGCTTTGTCAAGCCAAGCCTTAAAAACCTCTAAGGATGGAGATGGAGTCAGGGAATCACCCGCTCTCCCCTCAGGCAGGGAGAGACAGTCCATTCCTTCCTATGCATCATGAGTACAAATGTTTACAAAGTTCCAGTCAGTTCCCCCTATGCAAACCCAGTCATGTCAGTGAGGTTGCACAGATATCACTGAATCCACATAGCCAAGATTGAGATAAAGCGAGTTAGGCTAAATGGAGTTGCCCTGAAATACCAAGAAGAGCATCTGCTTATTGTCAGGTATTCCATGGTTAACCTGTGTTTTATTTTTTGCTTCTCTGAAATCCTAGTTAACTGCCCTTTGGGTACCTATTATTCTCTGGAGCACCGCACTTGTGAAAGCTGCTGGACTGGATCCTATCAAGATGAGGAAGGGCAGCTGGAATGCAAAAGTTGCCCATCCGGTAGCTATACCGAATACCTCCACTCCAGGAGTATCTCTGAATGTAAAGGTGCGAGCTCGGCATTCAGAAAATCGCTTTTAAAGTTGACTTCTAATGCTTGAAACTACCGAGCATTGCAAAATGTAACTAGAATAGCACCATAGAAAATTAAATGGATTGTTGTGTTACTTTATGGCTTTTGCTCCTGTGTGGGTACATATGGGGAGGGGAGAATACCAAGGTATTGAGAAGATATCTAGAATGCCATTGCTTGTACCTCTTAAGTGTCAGTGGAGCAGGCTGCTAGGGCCAGCAGTGCTTGACACCTGAACGGTGGTGTAGCTCGATAGGTTGAGAGCCAGGGACCTCTTTGCCCCAGTTAATATTCACAGGCTGAGAGAGTGCATGTTGCAACACTGAAAGGGAAGTGTATACATAGTGCTACATCTTAGTACACGTCTCCCTGCCAACATCCTGTACACCTCCCATGCAATAATACCTCTTGGCACTGTCATTTCTGTGTCCCACCTTGCACCGTTCTGCCTCGAAGCCACAAGAGAGCTCTCACTTTGCACCTTGTATATGAAATAACAATTGGTATTTTCTAGTTACTGTTGTTTAATTGGCTTTGTTAGTTAAAATATGAATTGCTAACAATAAACAATCTGCAGCAGATTGGAATATAATACACTATAACGAGTTTATATCTTGCAAATACACTATCAGTAATTTGCAGCCCACCAGCCATCACAGAATTGCATTTTCTTTATTCTGTGCTTTACACATTTCATTGTACAGCCTGTGGTTTAGATGTGTCCATGAAACTAATGAACAACCTCAGAATAAATTAAATGCATTTAGAGAGGGGATTGATGCTATGTGCTGTCTGTACTTTGCTTAACACTGCACAGAGCATTGTCTTCTGGTTTACAAATGTCCTGGTAGCTCTTTCTTTCAAGGATTGCGTGTCAATATATTATAAAGTGTTACCTTTATTTTTAGGGGACAGGAGACATACTTTATGTTAGATATTGCTTAGCCTTATGCCTAATCTTTATGTATTATTTTGCCTTTTAGCTCAGTGCAAGCAGGGAACGTACTCACCTAATGGTCTTGAAACCTGTGAGTCATGTCCTCTTGGCACATATCAACCTGTATTTGGATCTAAGAACTGCATTGCCTGTCCAGAAAACATGTCAACAGTGAAAAGAGGAGCTGTGGATATCTCAGCATGTGGAGGTTTGTGAAGACAAGGCCAGTGAAATTCCTGAAAACAAAATGTTGCTAAATACCATCCACGATAGCCCCATTTATCTGACCTCAGGTTACCTGCAGCTCCTGGCTGACTGCAGTGCAGTTATGTCACCCAGCAGCAGTGTACATAATTTTTTGCTGCATATCAAACACCTGTTTTTCTGAAAGATTTCAGAGATGGGGTTGTGCTGTATGCACACAGTATTCTAGGGTAAACCCTGTCTCAGATATCCAGATGGCGATGTGATAATAAAATGTTTTCTTTTTTATTTATAGAAAACTCTACTAGATGTTTTGTAACAATCATGCAGGCAATAGCCAGTCATTTTGTGAGTCAAAATCCTGAGGTCCTTACTCAGTTTTTACTGAGTCTGCTTTCAAAAGTAAACTACCGTCAATGGGTTCTGGCTTGGCCTAGGCCCCTTTGGGGCAGTCGCACCCCAAGGGCTCATGAGGAGAACAGTCCACAGTGAGAGTGGGACAGGGAAGAGAATCTGTCTCCAGGTGTTGACCTTGTTGAAAATATGTTTGTGCATTGCAAGGACTGCAGTGTGGGGTGTTTGGTTGAATTTGAGAACTGTCTACGTAGGAACAAAGATTACATGGAAACATTTCTCTGGTTTTATAAAGAGCTTATTTGGGGCCATAGTTAACCTGAGTGACCCTTTAAATAAGCACACATTTTGGTTGCGAAATTCTCATGATTATTGGCCTAGTCTTGTAGGACTAAGGCAAAAACTGCCTTATGATGGTGAGGAAAAGATCATGCAGTAGGAGCCAGCAGTCATTAGAGTTTGTTTTGCACTTTGCAGTACCTTGTCCAGCAGGGGAATTCTCTCGCTCTGGTTTAATGCCTTGCTACCCCTGCCCCCGGGACTACTATCAACCAGACCCAGGAAAGTCCTATTGCTTATCTTGTCCCTTTTATGGGACAACTACGATCATTGGTGCCAGATCCATCACAGACTGTTCAAGTAAGTTGATTAATTTCCTCCAGGGAATGTGACTGAGGGGGAGCAGGATCTGGCCCTTAGTGAAAATTGGGTCCATTCAAAGGAAGAATAGACCATTCTCCTTCCACAATGTTCCCCACATTTTTCTACCAAAGCAGCACCCGTGCTAGTCCTTTCCTGGGTTATCTCTGAGTTATCAGAAGCTGACAGTCACACCCAATTGTGGATGATTGTGTGATATGGATTAAGCTTCCCTAACAGAGCCTAGATTGTAACCCCATTGGAAACAATGAGAGTTTTGCCTTTGGCCTATAAAAACTACCTTGAGGTAGACAGACTAACGTGATTTATGTGACCATCTAAGCTCTAAGTCAGGACTGGAGAGGAATAAATCTAACGAGTGAATTCACCACAGTGCCCCACCCTTTCTTCATTTATTATAGATGTTCATGTTTTGGAATTGACTGTGTTTTTACTGTAAGTTTTGGTATTTATTCCCACAAATCCACTTCCCTCATAGCATTTTTTAAATGCATCAGTGCAATGCAATTAGGGTCTTGTCAAGCTGCATTAACAGCTGCTTTCATAATAATCCTGTTTAGGTTTTGGCTCTACTTTCACAGCGGCCGAGGAGAGTGTAATGGTACCAGTCTCTCCAGAAAATATCAGCAAGCAGTACAAAGTCAGCAGTCAGGCAAGGACAAGATTTTTTTTTTTTAATGATGCTAGCTCTAATGGAAGAAACAGAGTATCTGATGCCGATATTAAATGGCTAATGCCTTCCAGAATATAATTGTGATACTGAGTTTACTTTCCAAACTAGGCAGCTATAATTACCATGGGGGCTACCTTTATTTGATTAAAGTGATCAAACATTGTGCCCTATAACTCCATAGCTGGCTTATATATATATATATATAAGTCCTTAATTATGCAGCAGAAATAAAAAAATTGTATTCACATTTTCTAATAATCTCTTCCACTCAATGATAATTTAATAGTGATTCACTAAAATATTGTATTTTAAAATTCTACTACAATAATAGAACAGTAGTATTTGGGAGAAGGAGATTTGATCCAGTCAAAGGCAGTCTTAGATTTAGAAGCATGATAACATTAGCCTGACATAAAAAATGTCACTAAACTTTTATTTAAAAAAAAAAAACATAAAACCCCCAACTCCTTGCAGTTGGCAGGTCTGCCCCTCATCTGATCAGTAGCTCCTATGCTGGTGATCAGTGTCTCTTTTATTTGGTCTCTTTTTCATTTTAGTCTTCCAGGAGATTGCTTCTGGCTTCCAGGTTCTGGTTCCGAAGTATTTATTTTCATTTATTTGTTTTGATTTATATAAATTTAAGAAGAGATGTCAGATAAGTCAGGTATGACCCATTCTGCAAATCCTTTCTCCTGTGATTAGCCCTCTCAAAATACATGGGACCACTCACATGAGTGGAGACTATTCCCAGGACTGTGGGTTTGCATGAAAGGCAACTCAGAAAAGACCACCCTGTCTCAGAATCAGGTTGTGAGAAGCTACATTACATGAATAAAGTTGGTAAGTGATAAATTAGACCTGAACTATTAGCTTATAATACATGCAGTCCACAAACTTAGGCCCCAATACAGCAAGCATGGGAGTTTTCCCATTTAAGTCAATAGGACCATTCATGTACTTAGTTAAGCACATGCTTGAGTGATTTGCTGACGTGAGGCCTGCTACCAAAGTACAAATAAATATCAATAACTAGAATGCTAACATCTGAAAAAGTCCCTTTCATGCCACTAGCTTCAGGTATTTATTTCTGTATTCTTTAGATTAGGGGTGGCTAAAATACAGCCTGTAGGCCTAATGCAGTCCACAGTGTGCCCTGACTCACCTCTCCCAGTAACTACAGATGGCTAATGGCAGGGATACATTACTAACCTCTGTGGAGAGGAACGGAATGAAAAAGAAATGTTAGAGAACTGTGGGGTAAAGACATTTTTTTTTAAATGCTGTTACATGTCAGTCATTGTTAGGTTCTGTAGAGAAAGAGTTGCAAACATCTAGTAACTGATAAATAGAGCACCCAAAACTCCCATTACAAGTATTAACTTCAGCTGTCTAGATGCTTCCTCCACGGAGCAAAGAATGGTTAAGGGGGAAATTGACCTCAGAGAAGGCACTTCCTGTAGAAGCTTGCTGGAAAATTGCTGCTAATGAATAATCTCACAGTTCAGCACATCACTTAGATTTTATGTTATAAACTGTGAGTTGAGATTGTTTTACACAATTACAGACAAAAGATACACGTACTCTATAAAGAAAGTGAAATCATAAGAGTAATGAACAAGTCAATGAATAAAGACAGAATTTGTGTCACAGACATATGGAGCGCTAAAAGGTTATGACCATGAGTTAGAGGTTTGCCAGGTACAGTGAAGTAGTTTGCTGTTTAGATTTGGAATAGATATTTGTCTATGTAATACACATAGTTGTATCTCCACGTCTTTGATAACTGTACTGTTCCCATCTGTGACAGGTTTTTCATGAGTGTTTCCTGGAACCATGCCATAATAATGGCACATGCAAACAACTTGGAAGTGGGTACATTTGCATGTGCCCACCTGGATACACAGGTAAAGTGTGTGTATGTAAGGGGGACATTGTTTCATCATGTGAGGTAGTTAGAAAGTTCTGTTCTGAGGGGAAATTATAACTCCCAGCAGAAAAAGCAGATAATATAATTAATGGAAATCACTATTGCTGACACAGGTTATTCATTATTCTTCACATTTTTAAAAAAAAATGAAGAACTGTTCCCTTTGTTGTTGTATGGTTTATCTCAGTGTTTGTTCTCTAAGAGAGATTTTCAAAAGGCTCATGTTGGCCTATACCAGGGGTAGGCAACCTATGGCATGCGTGCCAAAGGCGGCACGCGAGCTGATTTTCAGTGACACTCACACTGCCTGGGTCCTGGCCACCATCTGCATTTTCATTTAATTTTAAATGAAGCTTCTTAAACATTTTAAAAACCTTATTTACTTTACATACAACAACAGTTTAGTTATATATTATAGACTTCTAGAAAGAGACCTTCTAAAAACGTTAGAATGTATGACTGGCACGCGAAACCTTAAATTAGAGTGAATAAATGAAGACTCGGCACACCACTTCTGAAAGGTTGCCGACCTCTGGCCTATATTGTCTCCTATTGGCGTTAATGGTAACATCCCCATTTACTTAATGTGAGCAGCATCAGACCAAGACTGAATATATTTGAAAATCTCACCCCTTGACCACAACTGTGATCAGCAAGGACCGAGAAACTCACACTGCAGTCCATTAATCCCATTAGGTCCGCCTTTGCATGTAGCCATTGTGAGCTCTGCAGTTGCTCCAAAGCAACTGGGTATGTTATATTCCCCAATGATTTTTTTTTTAAGGGTAGAAATGTGCTACATTTAAAGATCTGGAGCTGATCAGCATGTATTTTATTATTGCCTGATCTGCACTGTACCTTTCTGATAGCAATTGTCACAGGTCTCTGGTAAATTGCTGTGTTTTTAAAGCAAAGATAATGGTCTGTAATGCCCTCTGTGTTTCTGAGTGATTTAATTATACTTTCTTTCTGTGTTCTCAGTTGTGATCCTGCTTTGTTTTTCAATTTAGGCTTAAAGTGTGAAAAGGAGATTGATGAGTGCAAGTCAACCCCTTGCCTCAATAATGGAGTTTGCAAAGATGGCATTGGGGTGTTCATTTGCCAGTGCCAACCAGGCTATACAGGTGACAGAAGTGATTTAATTGCTTTATAACTCCTCTTTGTAAGGGTGTCAGTTACATGTTGCATAAATAAAATGGACCTGTTAGGGTTATGCTTATTTCTTCAGTGACTTCCATGGAATTATAACAGGGGTGAATCTGGCCTATTATTAGACAGAGAAAACCTTTGGTGTAGGTGAATATTTTGTGAAGTAAAAGGATTAATATTCAAGGTGTGTGTGTGTGTGTGTGTGTGTGTGTGTGTGTGTGTAGTAACACTTCTGTTCTAAAAAAGGGAATAACAGTGAAGAAATATTAATGAGGCACTTTTGTGGAAAAATGCTAATGAAACCTAATATTGTAAGGCCTCGATTCAGCAAGACACTTGTTCAGTTGCCTAACTTCAAGCATGTGAGTAATCCTATGGATGCCTAATTGATACTTCTTCATCTTTTTTCTTAGAACAGGAACATTATTGAAAACACGCACACACACTCTCTCTCTTTCTCTCTCAACAGCACTTTTCACATGCTTGAAGTCTGGCACCTGCTTTTGTACCTTGCTGAATCGAGGTGTTAACTTATTTTATCATTAAATTGCTGATTATCAAATAGGTATCCTCCTTCTATGCACAGATATAAAAAGACCTAGTATTTTCCACCTAAGCAGTCCCTACCCTATATCACATTATCCTATAAAAGCTTTTTATAATCAATATGAATTAAAATTATATATGTGCTGCTGAATGCTTTTTAAACGTTGAGCTCCACTGCCTCCAAAGTCTCAATAACTATGTGTATGGATGGGCAACTGTTCACATTGAATTGCATCCTTGAAAGATTTTATCTCCTGCTCTCAATAACCTTTTATGAGAAATATTTTGCCATTATGGCTTTCAAAACCGATCACTACAGGATACGTACCATGTATGTATTAAAATACTGTGTATATCATGTCTTGTAACTATTATTGCTTGAAGGTTTACTGTGTGAGGAGGATATAAATGAATGCAGGTCCAACCCGTGTGTGAACGGAGCACTTTGTGTTGATGACATCAATGCTTATCACTGCACATGTGCAGAAGGATTCACAGGTAAGCTGTATTTCTTGATTGATTTAGTTTTTATTTATTTTAACCAGAAAAATTTTACCTTATGCTCACTAATGTGGAAGCAAAAAGTACAGTGTAATTCAAAATTATCTTCATAGATTTGCTATAGGTGTGCATTGATCTAGGCATGTGTAATATTTAGATGAGAAGGTCGTGGTCTGGTGGCTTCAAACACATGACTGGGAGTCAGGAGATCTGGTTTCTGTTCCCAACTGTGTATGAGCTTGAGCAAAGTATAGTAATATTCATCTTGATGAAATACTTCGGAGTTGATATACAAGGGTTAAATACTTTTATTATTTATTTATTTATTATTATATAGCAGCATATCCATGGGCCAAACCCTCCCCATCTCTATTAGAAGTTGCTTCCCATCCCATTTAGCTCTGCAACTTTCTGTTGCTTTGTGTCATGTTAAGGAATGATTTTCTTTTCCTGGGTTTCCAGATTGCCACAAAGCTTTGACTTTAAATCTTACGCAGTTTCTGCAACTTTGCATATCTCACAACTTGAAACGTGATGCACAACTAAACTCCTGGATGGTTTTCTTAAAAAAGTAAAAGGTTCCAACCTCATTTCCATTTTAGCAATACATTCTCTTCTCTGTATCGCTCATCATTTACTCAGAATGGTGTCTCAGCTTCTGATTGTGTGTGTGCTTTTAATATATCCTTGGGGCCCATCCTGCACTCTTCACACACACACAACTTCCTGGGAATGTATGGGTTCATGGGAATTTTGGTGATGAAAGAGCCAGCCCTTAACCCATATTGAAACCTGAGTATCGTTACTTGACCACTTACAAACTGACAGATGAGACATACTTCTTATTTGAAGAGCCCAACTTACTAACAAAGTTGGTAGCGCTCATTTCTGTACATTCCCCGAAAAAGTTTGTTTTTTAAAATGTTGACAAACGTGTAATGAGGGTTTTATTTCTATAACTGTGAAGCTGATTCCTGCATCTCCTCTACAGTTGCATCCAATCAATGCAATATATTTTATGCTGAGGAAAAAAGCCAGCCACTCAGCTAATCTGTTGTTTGCCGTTCCCCAAAGAATTCTGTATAATTGTAATTGTCTTCTGGATTTGTCAGAGACACCGAATCCTGGAAATTGGTTCCTGATTGTTCCTAACAGATTTTGAATCTTTTTAAATTGAATGTAAAGCTTTGCTTTGGTCTCTCTCTTCCCAGGCACTCGCTGTGAAACGGAGGTGAATGAATGCCTTTCAAACCCATGTCAAAACAAGGGCATTTGTGAGGATCGGATCAGGAGTTTCCACTGCAAGTGCCTTCCTGGGTTTACTGGCGTCTTGTGTGAAAAAAACATTGACGAGTGTCTCAGCAGACCCTGTAAGAATGGGGCCACATGCAAAGATGGTATCAACAACTTCAGGTGAAAAACTGCTGACGGACTTCCTGTAATAAGCAAAGCCAGATGTGCTGCAGTGTCTGGGTTTCCCCAAAGATTTTAGCAAAGGCTATAGGGCTAATCTGTCAAGTGGTCTCAACATGCACCCCAGTGTGGGAGAAAAGTGGATATTTAAAAAGAAAAAAAATGTGATGGTGTTATTTTAGCTTTTGTTAAAGGTGTGATAGTGAGGAGAATGTGGCGGGAGAGGGGTAGAAAGTGAGAGTGCCTTAGGGCTGCCACCCTTACAGTGAGAGGAAACTTACAGGGTACTATTTTCCTGAATCAGTTTCCCCCAAGGCTGTATTGGCATTGGGAAGCGAGGAGGGGGACCTGTGGCGTTTTTTAACCTTCTATTATAGCGCTGAACAATGATCATCAATTTGTGTATCCCACATGATTAAGTTTCCTGTGATTGTTGGGCTGGGGGAAGATATGGGCATTGATGGACCTCAGCCCTTCCTGTCTTCTATTTTTATGTTTCATCAAGATGAACCTGGACCAAAAAGTTTGTTTCTGGATCCAGATCAGAACTTCTCTGGTGTTTATGGGTGTTCTGCTCTGGTCCATTTTACAGAAAAGGACCCGTCGTGAATTTCAAGGTTCCATACTATTGGAGTGCCTCTCTAATGTTCTGGCTTTTTGTAATGTAACTGGATCTCTCGCGGAAACAAAGAGTGCCTCCAGTCTACAGATGTGTGAGCTTTAAAAGCGGCCACAATAGAAGAGTGTTTTTTGTTTTCATCCTCAGGTGTCAATGTGTGACAGGGTACACAGGCCTGCACTGTGAAGTGAACATCAATGAGTGTGGATCCAATCCCTGTTTAAACCAAGCTACCTGTGTGGATGCCTTGAACTCGTACATTTGTAAATGTCCCCCTGGCTTTACAGGCAGCAGGTGTGAAACAGGTACACAGGACCACAGTGTCAGCAAAAGGTGGCTTGACAAAGCTTCTGGGCAAGAATGATGCCAGCTGAGTTAATACCATATGGCTTCTCTATACAGCGGCTAGCAGGGTGGGGTTTCAATCCTGAGCAAAGCCGTTGCAAGCTACAGCAGTACAAATAATAATAATAATAATAATTAATTTCAAATGTAGCCCGTAAATACAAAGTAACGTCCTGCATGCTAGCAAACAATATTTTGATAATGTTTTTCTTTGCTTAAAAGCACAGTACCCTTTCTGCCGTGCTCTATAGGCCTGTGAAGTTCAATTTCAGCTTCTTTCACGTGTCCTAGTTATTAAGCTCTTTGTACTTCACATACGACTCATGATGCTTTGCATCAGAAAGTCACAGATATCGTGGTAACAAAGGGCATAAGGTTTCCACTATACAGTCTTAAAGTTAACTGGTCAGATTCCAACCTGGTGAGATTCCTTTGACTTCAGCAAGGTTACAGCAGAGACAAATTTGGCTCAATAAGATTTCTGTTTTAGACAAGACATTAACCTGTGATACCTTCTACTCCTATGTGGTGGATCTTCAGATGGAAGTTAAAGATCCACTGGCAATTTTTAGGAAAGGGCAGGAGACATGCTGGCCATCTGTGCATCATCCCCTCTCTCAGTAGAACAGTTTCTAATGTCCAGGGCTTTATGAGAACTACTACTGAATGCATAATGGGTGCTGCATTTGCACAGAACATGCATTTTATTTCTTTGTAAAGCACCTTGCAATACCTTGAACATGAAAGACACAAATTCTGTTCCATAACTGCACAATATGCTTTTTAATTCCATAAAGAACCATGCATCTATTTGGTCCCATTTTATCCACAGGTCCTATCAGGCACTTTTGGATTTAGGATGGCCAGATGGACATATTAGTTGTATGAGAGAGGACCGAAAGGCTCATCCAATGTTGTGAAAGGTTCATGTTCATTATCTACCAGAAAATTACAAGATTTTTTTTTTTTTGTGCTTCTTAAACCCGGCATCTTTTCTAGGTATTGAAGGCTCCATGTGAACACCTTGTAGGCTAGAAATAAAATATTTCTAGTTCGGTCCAGTTGAAAGCAAATACTTTTAGCCTGGTTGTGGTTAGTTTTATTGCATTTGATTAAGCTTCGTTTAATTTGTTGATACATTTGCACGAATGTAGATCTGAAAATTGTTCTTGTTTGTTGCAGAACAGTCCTCTGGTTTTAACCTGGATTTTGAAGTGTCTGGTATCTATAGCTATGTCATGCTTGACAATATTCTCCCATCACTTGGTGATATCACCTGTGCATTCTGGATGAGATCAACTGACACTACTAATTATGGGACTCCAATTTCTTATGCAGTGGAGAATGGAAGTGACAATGCATTTCTGCTAACAGATTACAATGGGTAAATCAATCAATAGTATTATTATCTTTCTTCCTAGATTATAACTGCGTTTTAATTGATAGAGAGGAGTCTGAACTAAAACACCAAATTCCAATGATACATGTCTTTGGGGAAGTTCATAGCTGAATCTGAATCAAAACTGTGTAGCTGGAGTTGCCCTTTCTTACTGATTTTTCCCTGTGATTAATTCCAAAACCACTTTTTGGGGCATTGGTGTCTGCAACAAAGTAGCAATGCTCAGAAGGCAGAATATTTCTTCCTGTCTTTTTTTACACAGAATAGAAAAGATGTATTTAATGTAATATTTACATAAAAAAGGAGCTTGTCAGCAGGCATATTGATTGCTGTGACCCTCTGGCCATGGTCTGCGAAATACCAAGAACAACTCAAGTTTAGGAATCCACTGAAAAACATGACTGAAACTCCTTTTCTTGGTAATATTTACAGAGCTAAACATGTGGAAATTGCCCCTTACTTCACTGTCTGTGAGTATGATCATGATGACCCATGTCTTCTCTTTGGGAACAAATATGGCAGCAGGGATTTCCTGTGTGAGCTGGGGAAACTTAACCTCCTTCAGTAAATTACTTTTCCTGTGTCGGGAGTAGCCAGCAGGAAGAAAACTTTATTTTCTTGAAAGAGAATGTTATATCTATTAAACCTCTGCATGTCCTTGAATGTGCCTTGGTATCTGCTTTTTATGCAGCTGGGTTCTTTATGTGAATGGGAAAGAGAGGATCACAGATTGTCCCTCTGTGAATGACGGCAACTGGCATCACATTGCAGTCACCTGGACGTGCATGAATGGAGCCTGGAATGTGTATATTGACGGGAAGTTGTCTGATGGAGGCAGAGGTCTATCTGTAGGATCAAAAATCCCTGGTATATCTTGTTAACGTTTGTTTGGCTCTGTTTCTTTTCTCTTGTTATCGTAGGGCTTGCAAGGCTTGAAAGGTTTTGTTTATTTCTGTGTTCAGCATTTATGTAGAACTGAATTCTTTCATCCTTCTTCAGGCTGGGTAGTACCTTAGTCCATGAGTAGTCTCTCATTGCAACCAATGGGAATATTCATGGAGTAAGGTCTCATACAGGCTGCATAAGGATGGCAGAATCCTGCCCATAGAAGAAATGCATTGACTAAATTGACTAGAGAATGTTTTAGTGAGAACTGATCTCATAACTGGATGTCTGTGTTAAACTCAGGAGTGAATTTGGTTTGGAAGCGTGTACTTAGAGGTTTTTTCCTCATAATTTTCAGGCCTATTTTTGGAGTTTAGTTTCAGTAATATTTCTTCCTCACAGTATATGACATGTTTTTTACATTTGCTAGAATATGAATGACAGACCTGTTTTATGTCCACTTCTTTCATTGTTTCCTTTGATATGAGGAAGAAATTAGGATTCGTTTATTGTTAGAACTTAACCCTTTCCCCGCTGAAATCAGTGACAGAACCCCCCATGACTGCAACTGGAGGATGATCAAGCCCTTAACTACCTGCTTGAAAATGAAAGACACTTAACCAGTTGCATGACATACAGTATTTGGAGTGTTTTCCATTCAGAGCAACTGTCACATTGTAGCGTTAAAAGAACATGCAATACGTTATTGCATGGGAGAACCGAAGAGCAGTGGAAGGTCCATGCTTTCCAGAGACAAGTACTGGTCATTTAAAATCTTTTAACTTCATAGCCCGCAGAATGAATATACCATTTTAGAACAGTCTTCTCAGAAACATGGTTTCTATTTTTAATGGTGAAGCTCCTGCAGGGTTCTGTGCTCCCTCCGTCCATTCCCAACCACACTGTGGCTCTCTCCGAAACCTGGGCCCAAGGCACTCACATGCCTGCGTGATGCCACCCACAAACTGGTCTCCAATGTTAGTACTAACATTAGATGAGATAAAACAGAATTTACTTGTGTGGGGCGTTACAGCGTTTACCATCAAGTCTTACATGTGGTTCAGTTGTTTGGAATCAAATGCTTCTTTTTTCTACATGGCATTTTAACTCTTTGTATAGTTTTGAAACATTGAGAAGGGATCATTTAAAGCAACAGTTAACCAACTGTTACTGCGAAATATCCTATGCCAATTAATAATTCATAATTACATTATGAATTGTGTTGTAATATGATTCACAGTAAAACCTTGTTTAAGGGTAACCTCTAAGAAGAAAAGGCCTTTCTTAAACAACTGCTTAAAAGAATCCCGTTTCCAGTAGAGGTTAATTTAAACTTTAAAGATCACTGCTACTAGGTCACCAATTTTTGTGGGTTCTTTGGGTATTTGACAGTTTTTGCTATAAAGTATTTACCATCATCAACCACTGTACAGAGCCGTAACATCTTCATTTTACTTTGCGTTTAGGTGGTGGCGCACTAATACTTGGACAAGAGCAAGACCAGAGAGGAGAAGGATTCAATCCAGCAGAATCTTTTGTGGGCTCTCTTAGCCAGCTCAACATCTGGGACCATGTCCTATCCCCACAGGAGGTGAATATTTACTTAATAGTTTGGAATCTGAGCAAATGAATGAAAACTTAAACTAGTTTTTAATGCATTTTTGCCTAATGGGCATGATCCAACTCCCACTGAAGTTAATGGGAATCTCATCGGGCATAGCTGTATGTCAACGTATATGGAGTAAGCTTAAAATTGAAGATTTTGGCAGAGCCATTCCTCAATAACCAACTCAATGGGGGAGAGCGAAAGGGAAGGAGAAAACATACACAAAATATATTGTAACCATAGTAGAGCCCTCTACCAGAGAAGGGAGGAAACTCCATAAAATCTACTAGAGAACTTGCTCTGCAGGTCTCATTTACATGGGAAGCACTAAGGGCTTGATCCTACTTCTACTGAAGTCATTGACAAAACTGCCATTAACTTCAGTGGCAGATGATCCAAGTCAAAGAACTACAGTGCTAGGCACTATGGAAAACCCCAAGGTACATAGATAGAATGGAAGCTGTGAATGCTCAGTACCTCTGACAATCAGGCCACTTTTATTTAGGTACCAAAAATACGGATTTAGGTGCCTGACTTTAAGCCCTGAGGTTCAGAAATGTAGATCCTGCTGTTAGAAAGTAAAGTCTAAGGATCAATGTTCAGCATGAGCTGGGACTCACAGGAACAGATCTCTGGCTGTTTTTCCCCTCAGAAGAAAACAAGTACCTGCTCTTCATCTGATTTTACTTTTTTTAATTTTCTCCATTTTGTTTTTTAAAAAACAATAATAAAATTTAAAGGTAGAAGAGATAAGAAAATAAATCTTTCAATGCAGTGTCTGACCGCCCCTGTTCTGACAGTGTGTTCATGTCTGCTTTACCTTATGCCTTTTCTGCACTTTGTGTGTTGCCGAGGGTTCTATTCTCATCTTGAATCACAGGGATTTTGGTGCATCACGATACTGTGGATGTGAGTTTGAAGAAGTGCTCATTTCCTGTGCTTGAAGTCTTCACTGCTGTGCCATTCAAGTGGGATTTCCAAAAGCCTCTCAGCCCTGGCCTAACTCCAGTCCCGTTGACAGGAATGCAGAACCCCCCCCCCCCCACCACTGACTTCAACAGGAGCAGAGTTAGGCCAATGAAAAGTGCTTTTGAAAATCCTACCCTTCAATTATGGTATGTCCCATAATCCCTGGTCTTAATGCTAAAAAACAGATGTGAGACCACAACAGGAAAACTTGCCAAGTACATTTCCCATAAACTTTTTACCTCTTTTGTTATTAGAGCTTGAAATAGTAAATCATCTTCATTGTCTGTGTTTATTTCAAAGTTATTTTATACTCTAGAGCCTTAGTCCACTGAGATTATTTGGTAAGCCTTTTCTTCCTACAAGCCTCTATGAAACGGAACGGAATAATAATGTACTGAATATGTTGTGTGACAGACCCAGACCGGTTGGGTGCAGGAGTCTGGTCAAAGGAAAACACACTGGACACTGGATGAATAGTTTTCTGTTTCCTGAGTGACCAGGGCAGGGGCTACCCCAGAGCAGTCAGGAAGGTGCTAGAAGCAATTAAGTCAGGCAGACTCCATAAGACACCTGGAACCAATTAAGAATGGATTAGAAGCAATCAAGGGAAACAGGCTAATCAGATCACCTGAAGCCCATTTAGAACCAGCTGGGACTAGTTTCAAAGGAAACCCCTTCAGAGAGGCCGGCTGGTAGGAGCTGGGGGTAAGAAGGTGTGTTGTGGGAAGACTGGGAGAAAGACAGTGGGCAGTAAAAGACCCGGGAGAAGAAGCATGGTCAGCTACCAAGGAGGGTGCTAGGAGGGGCCGTTTGGGGAAGTAGCCCAGGAAGGGCTATAGCTCCAGTAGTATAGGAAAACTACCTGTTGCCGCTGCCAGTTAGGGTCCCTGGGCTGGAACCCGGAGAAGAGGGCAGGCCTGGGTTCCCCCTGACCTCCCCCCCACACCTCTTCACAAACGCTCCCTGAGAAGGAAGACCGGGACTAAAGAGGGTTCTTACACCAAACCCGTTGACTGGCGGATGATGAAGGTGGCTCAGTAAGCTGTAACCCTTGCCTCTAGGAGGGGGGAGAGGCTACATTGAGGGTCAGAGCAAACCTCTAAGGCAAACCCTAACCGTCTAGAAGCACAGGACACCCTCTCTCCCCCGAGACAAAGCCAGTGCTCTGCCACAGTTGCCAATTGAAAAAAAGAGAGGCTAAATAAATTCTTTAAGACATCTTTAGATGTACTCTTCGCTGCCCATCGACGTGTTCATCTTCTTCAGGTCAAACCCAGTGATTTTTCATTTTTGCTGTAGTCTGGGTTGGGGTTTTTTTGTTTTGTTTTGGTTTGTGAGTGAGGTTAACATTCATAAAAGATGCTGACCTGACAGCAGTGGAAAATGAAGTTCTCTGTACGTCAGTCAGTGGGAAGGTCCCTTCCCCTTCCCCATCCAATATCCTCTTACCTTGCGCCTGCACTAGGGAGATCTCCCCCAAAATTCCAAATGGTTCCGGAACAGTTTGGTGCCCTAGCCTGGTAATTACCATTTTTCAGCAGCCCATACTGCAGGAAAGAGTTTTTTGAAGATGCTTCAGTAAAAATAGGTCGGGCTGCTGGTGCCTGGTCCGTGCACCAGCTCCATCCAGTTGTACAATCTTTTATACTTCAGTGTAGATCAGGCCAAGCGGCGGGGAGGGAAGTGAGAGTGGTTTAAATAGCTGCCCTCCTCACTGAGGCTGCCAACAAGATGCTAACTGTGACATGTGTTTGTGACGTGGACACTTATCCATCAGAAACAGGACAGAGACCAACCACCCATTTCGTGCAGGCTACTGATTTTTTTTTTCCCATCCAGCATGAAATATTCCACAGCTTCCGCACAGATTTGCATGTCTATTCTCCTAACCAGGCCGATCCCCTTCCAGTCCATCGCTGTGTGCAATGAGAGAGGGGGTTAAACCACACTAACGCTTTCCTACTTGGGCTGCTCTTCCTTATTCTTCACAATTTTTAATCCAACTTTGCATGTGGCCATAGAAAACATTCCTTTTTGCACCAGGGAATTACTAGAGTTGCTCTTCAGCACAGCCATGGAATGCACTAGTTCAGTTATCAACATGTTTTCTTAATTAAACAACCATTTTCCTTCAGAGGGGTACTTCTGCCCTTCATAGTAGAGAGATGGAAGCCCTTAATCTTCTTTTACTGCACATTTGTCTTCTGTAGGGCGTTTATCACTTTAAACAGCTTCTTGGCTGAGAGCAATGCTTCTGTCTTAGGCCAGCTAGGGAGAGCTGTAATATACTGAATAGGGCCTTTGCAGTGAGGTTATGGCGTTACAGCTTATATAAGGGCTTTTAGACTCTATTCCAGGAACTATTTTAATTTCTTTTCCTGCGAACCACAGTGAAATCGGTGAAGGCTGATTCCAAGACCTTACTTTCCACTTTCTTCACTCAACTGTCCAATCATCCCAGGTTTTATGTATATTTTTTTAAAAAGCCCATAAATACCCTCACTTTTAAAGAGAGTTAAAAATCTTTGTCTGTGTCCAACAGAACTTTAGCCTCTCCTGCAAGATGATGCACTCAGCGCACTAGGACCATGTTTGGGGTCACTGCTGAATGTCTAACATGACATCCCATGGTCACAAACCTATCTACATTTTTTTCTACTGAACACTTAAGCTCAGGGACTGCATACTGTGCAACCTGGGCTTTTGCCCCAGATCACTTCTGCTTGGTGACTAACGGCCTGTATTTACAATTTTATGGAAAGGAAAGGACACAGAAAATAAATCAATCCTCTGTCCAACATTTACCAGGCATGTACAGGTCACAACAGCAAATGTTAACTTTTTTGAGTGTCCATTAAAACCCCCATTAAACCAACATATATCCTTCTCCCACACTGTACAAGGATGCATGGCTCAGGTCCTGGACACAGGGCTGTATATTTCTACTTGGCTACTGAACTGCGAGGAGAAAATAAATGTATAGTATTAGTGTGTTATTAACAGAAATCCATCAGTGAAGAGAACAAAACTTGCATAAAGAGTTTTCGACACAAATCAGATGACCTCCATTTCACTGTGCACAGGAAAGCATTGTGATTTCCCCCTTGTATCACCCAGTTGCGGTGTCTAGGTCTTCAAAATATCCATTCAGTCAAAATCTGATATCACACTATCAAATGGAGCCACCTTGCCGCCTCCTGCCAAAAGGCAGTTTGCTCAGGTTTGCAATGCACCACTGCAGTTGTGGCACTGCTAACATGGTGAGGAGTAAAGGTCTTTTGCATTCCATTGCTGTTCCGTAACAAATCTTCCCATCAAAAGCAGTCCACTACTAACCTTTTTATGCTGTTTAACTTAACACCGTGAACCACATGTTCCCATTGCTGAGTGATGGTGGGAATGCTGAAGTGCACCATCTGTGCATTCTTTCTATATATCTCTGTTCCATATTTCCTGATGGTCATAACTATAGTATATGTCTCAAAATACTGTCATGGCTACATCCTCCTCAGAAAAACAATGACTGATTCTCATTAACGAGGTTTAATCTATTGGATATACATTCTGGTTATGATTTCGTTATTGTCTCATGGTGTGATTGAGTTATGGTACATGACTTTGCTGCCCTCAGGTACAAATGCTTGGAACTGGAAAATCTGACATTTCCATGGGAAAGTCTGACATTTCAAAATTAGTTTTCATTCCACATCAGAAAGAAATACTGCAGTTTCCCATAATTTTGATTCAGAACTCTCAAAATGTTACGTGTTGATACTGTCAGAACATAATATATTGTAAAATATTAAATATAGTGAACATAATATAATATAAAATCTAATCATACATATAATAAGACCAGTATGTTAATAGAATCTGAAAGTCTAAACAAAATGTTTCAAAAGGAGAACAATCGAAATGTTTTTAATCTTGTCAAAATTAAATGAGAAAGTCAAAATGATTTGACATTTTTCCATTGAAAATTTTATCTACATGTTCCCACAAAAGATTGCAATTTTGACTAAACTGCATTTTTGTATGGAAAACTATTCCATCAAAAAATTTTCATCCAACTCGGGCTATCTAGCCATCCATTAATCTAACAACATAGCAGTTCCTTTATCCTGTCCTCATGCATCCCAATTTCACATCCAGTGCTCACTAATGGGGCCCAATCCTATTTCTAGTTAATTCCCATTAACTGTGGTGTCTGCAAAATCTAGCCTATCATGTTTTGCAAAGTCACAGCCTGGTTTATTTAAGGAATTCAGAAAACTTGTATCCTGGAAACAAGGAATTGTCTTTTTTTGAAGCTTCATGTTGTGTTTTCTGTCCTTAAAATTAGGTATCAAGAAATAAAACTATTTCAGGACCATCACTCTTCAAAATTCATATTCCATTGTTTCTAATGGTAAAAGTTTCCCTTTACAAATACTTGAGAATCTGCTCAGATTCTTTTCCCTCATCTGTTTTTAACCTGTGGGGTAAATACACTGTTCTGCTAAATAGACATACATAGAGGTGTTTAAATTAGCATGTTTCCTACATCACCTGTAGGACAATACTCTTCTGTCAGATCCACCCCATAGTAAATTGCTACAGTGTTCCACCATCGCACTGGTGACAATAGGTGATCCAGACAAATAAGAAGAGCAGAATCCTTTGAGCTTGCTCAAAAAGCCAACTAAAGTCATGGAAAGACTCTGACTGACTCAATTTGAATCAGATGCTAGGTTCAGTACTGCAGATGTGAGAGGTGTTCTTTTCTTACAAAGCTGTCTGGTAGTTAGCAAACTGTCTAACCATGTGTTTTGAACCTTAGGTAAAATCCCTGGCTACTTCCTGTCCAGAAGAACTGCAAAAAGGAAATGTATTGGCCTGGCCGGATTTCCTGCCTGGGGTTGTTGGAAGAGTGAAGATAGATTACAGGAGCATGTTTTGTGCTGGTTAGAACTTTATCTCCTAGAAGTGTTTTTGTTCCGAGTAATAACACAGTAATACTTTTTATAAGGTTAAATGTGCTATATTGTGACCCCTGTCCTACTAGCCTTGAATAAATTATTTTGATAATTTAATGGTTGGAACATTCAGTCTTCATTCCTAAAATTCCAGTGTTTTATAACAGAAGTTCATTGGAATTTCAAACAGAGAATTATGGCTTCCTGTATTGAGATGTTGAAAGAGTGATGATTGATGATATTGGATCAAATGGAGGATTTTTCCACTTATTCATGCTCACGATAGTTTGAATATATTATGGTACCTTTTTGTTTCCTCCTTTTGCTTGGAAATATCTTTTAGTTCAGATATGTTGATGTAGTGAAGCTCTTTGAATCTGGAAAGATTGTATACATTTTATAGTATAACACTTTCCATTAATATCATTCCTAGATAAACACACACAGCATCACAGATACTTAAATAACAAATACATTTGTTTTGATTCAAGGCTAACTCTGTTGTGTGTGTGTTTTGTCCTCAGATTGCCAATCCTTAGAAGGATCCATACCTCATCTGCGGGCCTCATCGACTGATTTAAAGCCAGGGTCAAAAGTGAGCCTTTCCTGTGATCCAGGCTTCCAAATAGTGGGGAACTCTGTCCAGCACTGTCTAAATTTGGGACAATGGACTCGACCTCTTCCCCGCTGTGAAAGTGAGTAGATTGTGTTAGCATAGCATCTGCAGGCTGCTATATCAGTCACAAGCCACGCTTAGGAAATCTTGGCTTCTGTTTGGATGCAATTAAAACAAAGACTTCTGAGAATGTAACACAGACCTGATGATTTATCCAACGTCTCACAGTTTGCCAAATCTTGCCCCTTAGATCATAAGCAAATTTGGAAAAAAGCTTAAAAAATCAACTGTATCTGACTTTCTTTTTTTTTTTCCAGCATTGGTGAGACTGAGGCAGCCATGTGGCAAAATTCTGCTCCTGCTACATCTGATTTCATAGTATTTGGGGAGGTGGTGTGGTGCAGTAGATAGGGCATTGGACTGGTACCTAGCAGTGTGGGTTTGATTCCCAGCACTGTCACTGACTTACTGTGTGACCTCGATTTCCCCATCTGTAAAATGGGGATAATTATACTTCCTTTCTTTGTAAAATACTTAGAGATCTATGGATGAAAAGCGCAATATAGGCCTGATCCAAAGCCTATAGGAGTCCATAAGGATCTTTCCACTGACTTCAGTGAGCTTTGAATCAGGCTCTATGAGGGCTGGGTTATTACTATTAGCTTGATCCACTGGGAGTCTTTCCTTCCTTACTGCTGTCAAAGGCTTGTGTCCTCTTCCCCTGACATTCATCCTTTGGTATTATCATTCATGAAATTGACAGTAGTTCTATCTAACTGTGGTAGTTACATGGCCTCCGTTATCATGATATCAAGCATCTCGCAATCTGTGGTGTTTTTATCCTCACAATATCCCTGTGAGGTAGGGAAGTGCTGTTATACCCATTTTACAGACGGGGAACTGAGCCACAGAGAGACTTATGGGCCAGATTTTTAAAGGTATTTATAGGCACTTAGCTCCCATTGCACTCTGGCCCTAAGTGACTTGTCCAAGGTCACACAGTCTGTAGCAGAGTAGGGAATTGAATTGAAAAAACATCCCCATACCTGAAACTGATTAGCAGCCTGGTTGGCACCCTCAGGCATAGAGCCTGAGATTCCCTCTCACTTTGAGACATGTCCCTTGTGCACCTGAGTTGAGACATTGACTAGGGATGTGTGGAGAAACTTGCCTTTTTGCTGGTGGTGCTGACCCTCTTCTGTGGACAAACAGAGCACTTCAGTCTCTAGGGCTGTCAGACCTTCACCTTTATGAACATTCTATTCACATACACATGTTTTCATATGCAGAGAAAGTGTATTAATCCTCAGAGGCTCTTTCACTGCAGTCTTCACTGTGCATTTCTTCTTCCCAGCTGTTACTAGAAAATCCTAGCTGTAAAAGCTAAACTTTAAGGGCCAAAGTCATCCCCGATATAGCTTCTTTGACTTCAGTGGAGCTACACCAGGCATGTATTTGGCTCTGAGATTTCTTCATGAGTTGAATCTTGTGCTAACTGCACTGGTGCCAAGAGGTAGTTCATGGAATGTGTCTGATCGGCTAACAAGTTTTTACTCTCCTTGCCTGTGGTGTGTAGGAATCAGCTGTGGAGTGCCTCCACCTTTAGAAAATGGATTTTATTCTGCTGAGGACTTCTTTGCGGGTAGCACAGTTACCTACCGGTGCAATAATGGCTATTATTTGTTGGGGGATTCAAGGATGTTCTGCACTGACAATGGAAGCTGGAATGGCATCTCGCCGTCTTGCCTTGGTGAGATATGTCACTTAACGTGTCTGTATTATTGATGTTACAGGCTAAACCCTGCTCCTCTTCCTCTCCCAAAACTCCCATTGACTCCATTGGGAGTTGGATATTGGTAAGACTTGCAAGATAGGGCCCCATGTGGTTTACATTTGAATTGTGTTTATTTTATTTTAATGTTTGTAATGCTCATCTCACAGACTAGGCTCATTAAGTCATCAAAGAACATGAAGTCCATGTTAAAAGCAAAGCCAAAGCTCTTCCAGTCCAACATAAGCGCCCTTTATGCATGACCTCAATTGCATAGCACAGCCTCCAACAGACTCCTTTACCATCTCCAAACTGATCTCACCCCATCTGTTGTTCTACCCTCTCACTATTCTCTCCCTCACAGAAAAAGCCTGTGAAAACAGGTTCATTTTATAACAGGTCCTAAGTTCACCATATCTGGGCCCTGCCAAACCTTGCATGGTTTCTGGAGGGGCTCGGAACTCAAGTCATAGGATGTTAGAAGCCAAGACCTTGCACTACATGCCAGGGGTCTGAATCTCCACTGACTGGCACATTGTGTAGTCATTTACACGGGTGAAAAGTGAGAGTGCATTGGGTGGGGAAAACAGCGTGCCTGATTCCTCGTTGCCCTGCACCTTATGCAGTCATTTGCACCAGTTTAAAGTGGATGTAAAATGTGACAAGATCAGAATAGTAATGATTTACGTGCCCATTGCTGTAGTGTAAATTTACGTGCCCACTGCTGTAGTGTAAAAGGTGCAGAGTGTTGGAGGATCAGTCCCTGCCATTCTGATTTGATAGCATTTTATATCCACTTTGAGCTCTCTTGACACAGGTGTAAATTGGTTACAGTGCGTGCAAGGCAGTTGGGAATTAGACTCCCCATATGTTTTATCTCTTAACATTTTTCGTCATCATGCACCAATGTGAAAAACCTTCTCCGTTTAGAATTATTGTTTGTATTGGATTGTTTGGTTAAATGGTTGAGAATAAGTACACACTTCTAAAGAGTAGACAGCCCTACTTTTGTTTGTTTGTTGCCCAGTCACTCTGCATTGTTTGCAGATACTTGGATAAATGCTTTGCTGACAATAACCTCAGCAATGTGTTTGCATTTATGGAGCCCATGCAACAACTGTTCTGTTGAGTAGTTCTTAATGAAGAATTTCCCTGCCCCAAAAGGGTCTGGTTTATATAAGGAATAATCGCTGATGCTGGGGATTTTTCAGTGAGATAGTTTTGAACCATTCCCTACAATATGTAACTTGTATACATACCAAGCATGTTTCTCCACAGTAGAAAGCCAGTGATTAGAATATGAAATGAAACAAACTGGGGCAGAGACTGTCTCTTTTTTTGGATTGTTGGTACAGCGCTTAGCATAATGGGGCTTAGATCTTTGATAGAGGTTCTTAGGCACTATTATCATTCATAGAATATCAGGGATCTCAGGAGGTCATCTAGTCCAGCCCCCTGCTCAAAGCAGGACCAATCCCCAGACAGATTTTTACCCCAGTTCCCTAAATGGCCCCCTCAAGGATTGAACTCAGAACCCTGGGTTTAGCAGGCCAATGCTCAAACCACTGAGCTATCCCTTCCCCCCCATAATTCACATAATTAATAATAGTAATTATAGATTTCTACCTCATTTTAACCTTTCTGATATCAGACAGCTCCAAACATCTTAGCAGGCTTCTAATGCAGTAAGAGTCTATTCAGCACAGAAAGGACTGTCTCTGTTTTATGGTCAAAGTGCTTACCTTGTGAGCTAAGCACTCATGTATCCCATTTTACAGATGAGAAAGCTGAGACATAAAGAGGGATTAGAGTAGATTTTAGAGTGAGAGAGTCCTCACTCCTATCCTTTTGCCCAAACCATTAGGGTACACACCTCTCTAAGTATGAACTAAAACACCTATTCATTTGCCTTCCTGGAAACAAAATAATTGGCATAATAGGACATTTTCTGGACTCAGTGGGAGTATTCCCTGAGTGTGGAGTAACAGACTGTGTCCAGTTTCCCCTCATGTTGGCAATCTTTTATTTTATGCTAAATTAACTGTTTGTAGAAATATTCCATTTTATTATTCTATGTTTATTTCCACTGTTACAATGCATCAGAGAAGTGATTCAGTTAATGGTGGGTTTTTTAAATGATTCTGCCAGACATTTCGAGTGATGTAAATTGAAAACAATGTTCATTACAAATACTACCCTCGGGACATTTATTTTTGCAGATGTCGATGAATGTGCTGTTGGATCAGATTGCGATGAGCATGCTTCTTGCCTTAATACAAATGGGTCCTACGTATGTACTTGCATCCCTCCTCATACAGGCGATGGCAAAAAATGTGCAGGTAATGAGATCAAATTTTCAACGACCTGGGGATGGGAAAGGAGGCCTACTCTCACTTTGTAGATTAAGTGCCTCTTTGTGGTAAAGGGATAGCGGGTAAAAAAAAAAAAAAATTCTTTCTTGTAACCTGAGCACATTTACTTTAGAAATCACGAGACCATAAACTTGGATCCCCACATTGCCATTTTTATAGCATCATGCTTCAAAGTAGACCTGCACTTTCAAATGCACAAAGAAATACATAAAATGTAGATGCCTAAATATGGATCGGGGTGCCTAACGTTAGGCACTGAAGTTTGAAAATTTTGACCTAAGTAACTTGCTACGGTCAAATGCCAGCGCAGTGGTAGATTTGGAAATGACATGACTCACAATCCAGTGCCCTATATGCCTGGACCACACTGTCTCCCGTGGAGGGAAAAAATGAGTTTGGAACTGGTTAATGCAAAAAGTCCCAATGCAAGAAGGCTCAACTGCACTGAAATCAATTCAGTTGCACAAGCTTATAGTGGACCCAGATTACATCAGGAACAGAGAAAAGCTGAGGAGATTCTTAAAAATGCATATACCGTATATACTCGTTCATAAGCCGAATTTTCTTAGTAAAAAAGGGAAGCACCATGAGAAGGGGGTCGACTTATGAACGGGTATAGAGAGGGAGAGGTGGGACACAGCCCCTCTCCCCAACAGAGGCAGCACAGCCAGCAGATCCAGAAGGGAAGAGGCCGGGCCAGAGTCTCTCCACTTCTGGCCACGCTGCTCTTCCCCCAGCCTCCGAAGCAGCTGCAGCTCCGGGACTGGCAGGCTGCAGCCGTGCCGCTCGGCCCCGCCCCCAAGAGCAGGCTGTGGCCACGCCACCAGAGCACGCTGCGGCCGTGCCGCCCGGCCCAGCCCACTGGAACATGCTGCGGCCACGCCGCCCGGTCTGGCCCGCCGGAGCAGCTCCAGCCAGGCCAGAGACATCCTCCCCTGACCCCCCCCAGATAAGGTGGGAAGGGATGGGATGGGGAGAGTGTGGGGGTCCTGGGCTAGGGGTGGGGTCACTCCCCTGACCCCCAGCTTCTCCCCCCAAAAAAATTTCCCCACCAGTTGCTGTCCCGGCCCGTCAGGGTAAGCAGCTGGCGCGCCGGGACACTTTGTTTACTTAGGTTTACCTCCGTGCCTTCAGACGCGAGGTTAACAAACCATCTCGGCCCGCCAGCGGCTTATCCTGATGGCCCAGGAGCCAGAGTTTGCTGACGCCTGAATTATAGGGTCGGCTTATGAATGGGTCATAAAAATTTTCCATTTTTACTTAGCCATCTTGGGGAGGTCGGCTTATAAATGAACCGGCTTATGATCCAGTATATACGGTAGATATTTTTCCCCATTCTTTTATGTCTGATTTTCACAAAATGCCCAGACAAATGTCACTCAACTTGTTTGTAAGCACTCGTGTTTAGTGATGCTGCACTGTCTGTTATTAGTACGCGCTCTTCATGGTATGTCTGCTTTCACAGAACCAGTAAAATGCAAGAATCCGGGAAATCCAGAACATGGTCATTCTTATGGTGACAATTACACTGTTGGTAGTGAAGTTACTTTCTCCTGCGAAGAGGGTTTCCAGTTGATAGGAGCAACTAGAGTCACTTGTTTGCAGTCTGGAGGATGGAGCCACCTGATACCATATTGTGAAGGTATTGTCTTGGGGGGCTCCTGTGTGTTTACTAAAAGGAAATTCAACAGTTGGTGTTACAGCACAGTGAAGGAAAAGAAGGAATCGGAATGGCTTTCTGTGTAGAGATGGATGGATCACCAGAAAAACCACTTCACTTCACATCAGGCTTATCTATAGGGCACAGTCCCAATTATTCACCTCCAGTTCATCAAACTTTCGGTGAACTGAAGGCAGGTGGTGTCCCCAGAAGCAATGTGTCACTTTCTGCTTAACAACGACAACAATACACTTATACCGCAAACGTCCATAGCGTTGAATATTCATGGCCACATTGTATGGTTTTATTCCAGGCGTCTGAAAGCTCCCCGGGGTTATTACTAATCCAGTGCAGCCAGGATCATTGCAGAAGACTGTGTGGCTGCTACTAGTCTGTGGCTGGCCATTGTCCCCAGCTGACCTCAAGTCTGATCTAGGGCTTGATGTGCAGGGACTGTATCTCCACGGTGGGCTATATGTCCAAAAAGTGCCAGCCGGCAGTGACTGATGATGACTTCAGTCCTCTCAAGGCCAGTTCTCAGTGATACATCCCTATTACTGATAAAATAAAACCATCTTATGCTCAGTAGTTGCCACTGGCAATGCATATGAAATACCTCCATCCTCCGGATGTCTTGTTTAAGCAATATCCGTGTTTCAGATCCATATAAGAGGATCAGAAGTATGGAGGTTTGATAAATCCGTACTTTATATATAATTTCGCCTTCTTTTGGCTCCAGACACTATGCAGGTCCTTCATGGCTGAGGCTACTAAACTGATTCTTCTTAGCATGTCCATCAATCCATGACAATTTTACTGCCTCAGTAGATGAAATCATCCACTACTTACAGTGTTTGTCTGGCAGCACAGATGTCTTGTATCACAACTTTTGCGCCGATACTCTGAATTTTTGTTTTTACCCAAGAAATCCTTAGTCCACGGGCAGCTGCACTGAGCTGGAAGCTCTCTAGTGCATCTTTAAGGTCATCTGCATCCTGGTCGAAGAGGATGACATCATCTGCATAGTCCAAGTTGGTAAAAGAAGTTGAATCGGCAATTACACTGGTATTTGCGGAGACATGTTCAAAGAGCCAACCTGCTGCGCGGCAGAATAGGCCTGGGGTGAGGACACAGCCCTGCTTCATCCCAGATCTAGTGTAAAACCTGTCGAACCTATGGGTCTCCCATCACATCCATGCGCCATAGTCATTATGTAGGTCTTAAATTAACTTCAGGGGGATGTCAGGAATGCCAGTAGGGCCTTCCACCGGGCAGCTCTATCAACAGAATCGAAGGCTGCTTTTAGGTCTACATATGCTGCTGTCAAAGGACAATTGAATTTGCGATGGATCTCAGATAAAAGATGAAGAGCAAGTATAGCGTTCATTGTAGATTGTCCAGCAGTGAAACCCAATTGCTCGGAGCAACGGCATTTCACAAGAAGAGGCTGGGACTGGGCAAGTAGGACAAGTGTAAAAACTTTTTTGGGAACAGAAAGCAGAGTTATTGGCCTGTAGTGACAGCACTCAGTGCACGGGCCTTGCCCCAGTGGGGGGATGATCCTTTCCATCCACTCTGCTGGCGTCTTCCCAGTAGTCCAAGCCCAGACAAAAGATTGGTATAATGCTACACTTATGGGCTCTGTGGTGCACCTGAGGAGTTCGGGTGTTATGCCATCAGGTCCAGCAGCATGCCCACTTCCCAGTTTCTTTATGGCAGAGTGGACCTCTTCCATAGTAGATACATCTACCCAGGTTTCAGGGTCAGGGTTTGCATCTACTACTAACACACCCACATGTTACTACTAACACATCCAGATCTGGGCATGAAGTCGCTTCAGGATGGTTAAGTGCCTTACCTTAGTCCATCCTGTGCTTTGCTGCACATTGGGCTACCCACATTTGCCATCCTTGCCTGTCAACTGCCCTTCTCTCCAAATCTTCCCATTTCATGTTGAGGTGCTTGGTGTAATTCAGAACTGTTTGTTTCCATGTTATTTGCCGTCTTCCTCTCTTTCCTCTTGTGTTTTCTGGCTTCCATTCAAGGGCAGTATTTGGTAAATGTTCTTTTTCCATTCTCAGCACATGTCCCAGCCACTGATGTCTTCTTTTGTAGATTATTTGTGAGAGAGTGCCTTGTCCAGTAATTTTTCTGACTTCTTCATTCGTCTTCCTATCTCTATATGTTATTCTCAATATTATTCTCAGACATTTGTGATGAAATGTATCCAGCTTTTGAATATTTTTCTTGGTAAGTTACCATGTCTCACTGCTATATGTTGTGATGACAATTGCTTTGTACATGTTCAGTTTTGTCTTGAGGGAGATGTTTTTGAGTCACCAGATGTTTTTGAGTCTTCCAAATGCAGCGTTTGCCTTCCTGATTCTTCTTATTATTTCCTCGGAATTGGTACCATCTTAGCTGATGGTATTTCCAAGATACGTAAAATTGTCCACCTTCTCTTCAATTTTGATTTCTGTCCCTGTAGTCCCTATTAACATGACTTTACATTGTATCTCAAACCTATCTTCTCCATTACTTTTTACTTGGTTTGTGCATTTTTGTAGCTAGTTGGCATCTTCATTGATAAGAGTGACGTCGTCAGCAAAGTCTAGATCAAATAGCCTGGAATTGTTCCATTTTAGGCCATATGTATCACCGTCACATTGTTTTAATCCATAGTCGATGACTAGCATAAACAAAAAAGGAGACAGGACGCACCCTTGCCTTACACCTGTCTTGATGCTGAATGGCTTACTCAATCCGTTTTCCATTTTAATGCAGCATTTTGAGTTGGCGTAGAATGCCTTCATAACATTGATTAATTTTGTTGAAATTCCATATTGTGCCACAATTTTCCACATTGTTTCTCTGTTTATGCTATCAAATGCCTTTTGAAAGTCCACAAAATTGATGGCAAGCCTGCCTTGTGTTCTCAGTAATCCGTCTCTGGGTGAAAATAGCATCTGTGCACAATCTCCTTTGTCTAAATCCAGATTGTTGTTCACGTAGGATGGTATCCATCTTTCCTTTCATCCTGTTCAGGAGGACTGCTGCTAATACTTTTCCTGTGACAGATAGAAGTGTTACGCCCCTCCAATTTGAGCAATTGTTTAGATCACCTTTCTTTGGTAACTTGATTATGATACCGAGGGTCCATTCTTCCGGCCCTTTCTCCTCCGTCCATATTTTATTGCACAGCAAATAGATGACTGATTCCACGTCTTCGCCTCCATATTTAAGCATCTCAGGATGAATGCCATCCAAACCAGGTGCCTGGTTGTTTTTCAGCTTCTGCAATGCTTTTTTTACTTCTTCAGTTTTTACCTCAATACATCTATATCTAGGTCTAATGGTTTATTATCGTTAAATTCCAGTCTTGTAATTGGTTCTGGTTGGTTTAGCACTTCTTTGAAGTGTTCCACCCATCTATTTTCTTGTTCCTCCTGTGTTTTCAAAATTTCTCCTTGTTTCCCTTTCACTGGGACACTTCTGAATTTTGATCCATATCCTGTTAACTGTTTCAGGATCGTTTAGACTGTTCTTGCGTCGTTTCTTTCCCCTGCTTCTTCAGCTTCACTAGCCTTACTTTCTATCCAATTTCGCTTATCTTTTTTGCATTGTTTCTTTACTGCTTTGTCAAGGTTCCTGTAGGTGTGTTTTGTTTCTTCAGTCGCATGTTGAAGTACTCTAGAGCCTTTTGTTTTCTTCTTTTGTCTATAATTTTCCATGTTTCTTCTGAGTATTCTTTCTGTCTTTGCAGGACTTCTTCCTGGGTTGAGCATGTTTTACTATCAGATTTATTTGTCAGCCTAAACTCCGCCCAAAGTCCAATTTTGGATCAAAGTTATTGAATAGCTTTGAATGCAGGTTGTAATTTATTAGATCTTTTTCCCTCATGCCAAGTTCTCAAAATAAGCTTCACAGTCCCCTTTTGCTCTCACCTGAAAAATAACTGGTAAACATTTACATGCAGTGTTGTCATGGCACACTCTGGCCTCAGATTTCTTTGGCAAAATTTGAAATGTCTCATCAGATAGCCAGTGGCATCACTCATAGCATTTCGGTTTGGGAATGACATCTACGGCTTCTCAGATGACTGTACTTATGGCTGTCCAAGTTTATTCTACATTATCCAGGAGAGTGCCACATGCATTGAATTTGTTATGCAAGTGCTGAATTTTCAGCGATACTTTGTGCCTACTATGTCATAACGAGCTCGCTCTTTTGTTGAAATGGGGGGTAATTGCCATTTTAGCAACCAGGAGATGATGGTCAGTAGTTGCCAAAGCTTCTGTACCTCTGTAAATCCAATATGACCTTGCTGTACTACAATTTTGGACCAATATATGATCCAGCTCCTTCTTCATCCAGCCATCGTTGTATATCCAGGTTTCCCAATGGATATCCAAGTGCTTGAACCAACTGCCAGTGATGGTCATATTATGTACCATTCCTCCTATGCTTCCAAATCCCTAAGAGCTGGCTACTTTTTCTGAAATGTTGTTTTGTAAAAGGATATTGTCAAATTAAATTTGATGCAAAATTTAAAATAAAATAAAAAATCCAGTGGAATCGGCTGTCTTTAAATGAACATTCCTGTGATGGGTTGGATCACAGAAAAGCCCTTGAGGGCGGCCAACTGATGTGCCAAGACTACGTCTGCCCCTGCTTTCTTGCCTGGCAGCTTGGGACTTCAGTGCCCTGCCTGGTTTGAGCCAGACCCGCTAGCCTGCTGCAAACCCAGACCCTGGTCTGAACCACGTCCCCTAACAGCTGTAGGCTTAAACTGAAAGCAGCTTAAGAAGTGTTCCTGTCTTTAACACTCAGATACCCAGCTCCCAATGGGGTCCGAACCCCAAATAAATCCATTTTACTCTGTATAAAGCTTATACAGGGTAAACTCATAAATTGTTCTCCCTCTATAACACTGATAAAGAGATATGCACAGCTGTTTGCCCCCCCCCCCAGGTATTAATACATACTCTGGGTTAATTAATAAGGAAAAAGTGATTTTATTAAATACAGAAAGTAGGATTTAAGTGGTTCCAAGTAGTAACAGACAGAAAAAAGTAAATTACCAAACAAAATAAAATAAAACACGCAAGTCTATGCCTAATACAGTAAGAAAACTGAATACAGATAAAACCTCACCCTCAGAGGTGTTCCAGTGAGCTTCCTTTTACAGACTAGTCTCCTTCTAGTCTGGGTCCAGCAAGCACTCACACCCCCTGTAGTTACTGTCCTTTGTTCCAGTTTCTTTCAGGTATCCTTGGGGATGGAGAGGCTATCTCTTGAGCCAGCTGAAGACAAAATGGAGGGGTCTTCCAGGGGTTTAAATAGACCTTCTCTTGTAGACCTCCTCTCTCCTATGCAAAGTCCAGCTCCAAGATGGAGTTTTGGAGTCACATGGGCAAGTCACATGTCCCTGCATGACTCAGAACTTACAGCTAGCAGCCATGGTTCACATGCTGCCTTGAACATCCTCAAGTAGACTTCTTATGTGGATTGGAGCCTTCCAAGATCCATTGTCCATTAAGTGCTTCTTGACTGGGCATTTAACTTGCACATTCCTTTCTCAAGAAGCTGACCAAATGCTTTACTAAGGAGATTTAGAAATCAAGCAAGTACACAGCCAATATTCATAACTTCAAACACAAAAATGATACATGCATACAAATAGAAGGAGTAGATTCAGCAGATCATAACCTTTACAGAGATATGTTACATGGCATATGTAGCATAAAACATATTCCAGTTATGTCATATATACATTCATAAGCATATCCTCATAAAGCATTATGGGGTGCAACATCATAATTCCCCTGCAGTGCTTTTAACCCCCAAACACTGTAGCACCGAAAACCTCAGCATGAAACTAACTATAAACAAAGGTGAAACTGACTTCATTGATTTTCATTGTCCAAGCTGAGAAATGTACAAAACTCAAAGAGCATAAATAGTGATGAGTAGATTAGACAGTCTAAAATTCTCTCACCTGTTATACTAGACTGTGATATTAGTAAAATAAGTAAAGGAACGTGTTTGGTTTTGCAGTGTCATTGTTAAGTGATCATGCCCCTTGACAAAAAAGATTTACCTTTTAAAAATAATTTATCTAGAACAGCTGTTTCATAGACACGAAGGCCCCAATTCAGCAAAGCATGTAAGCATGTAAGCATGTATTAACTTTAAGCAGCTGATTAGTTCCATCCTTATTCGGCAGAGCATGCATTTGAAGTTAAGCACATGTGTAAGCATTTTGCTTAGTAGAGACAAAGTGCTTTTCTGAATTGGTGCCCAAACTGCTGCCTGTGCTACTGCCAGTAACCCTGCTTTCACAAAGCACTAGTGTGCAAAAGCAGACGCTCTGGGCAGTAGCACGTAGCAAGGTTCTATTTTAGGCAATGAAGCATCTGCTTGCCTAGATGATATCTTTTCCTAGGATGACAAAGGTCCTCTCAGCTTCTTGTTCATGAATTAGGAGAAAAGCATGACATGAAAGCAAACAAGATGTTTCCAATAATTAACTAATAAAGCTATAGCAAAATCAATTACTCCTGGAAGAGCAAATCCTGCTTCCCTGACTCAGGCAAGTCCCTACTCTGTCCTCATTGCAAGTACTTGTGTGAGTAAGGCCAACGGGATTCAGCCCTAGTAGGCATTTCCACGGAAAATGGAATTTTCTTGTCTGCATCTTGGACGTGTGCTGGCTAAACAATTATTTTTGATGTTCTCTCTTTAAAGCTGTATCCTGTGGTAGTCCAGTTATTCCAGAAAATGGTGCCATTGAGGGCTCAAATTTTACTTATGGCAAGAAGGTGCTGTACAGGTAGGAGAGTCGTTGTGTTTGGAGCAGTACTGTACTCAGAGTCTGGAAGCAAATGAGAAAAACAACAACTGGATTTAATAAGAGAGTAATTGACTCCACAAAATGTGGAGGAAAGTAATGGAACAATGAACAGAATCCACCCCAAAACTCACCCATTAATCCTTTCCTGGGGTTCACAACTTATACAATACTAGGTTGCATTTATTTTAATACACAGAGTAGAAAACGAATATTGCAGAGTACTGTATCTGGACAACCATTCTGTAGTTAGTATATAATGTTTTACTTATTCCACATAGTGGGCTGTGTATTAACAAAGCCCTTGAAATAATGATAGTACTGTATAGTGGGCCTATTAATCTCTCCCCATTCATCACCCCAGAAACCCAGGTTACCCCAGTATCATCCTGTATTATTATTTGTATATGTATTGAGGTAGCACCTGTGAGCCCTAGTCACAGACCTAGACCTCATTGCTCTAGGTGCAGTACAAACACAGAACAAAAATAGGGCCCTACCTCAAAGTGCTTATTGTCTAACTATAAGACGAAAATCAACAGGTGGATACAGACAAACAGATGGGAGAGCAAGAGGAAACAATGAGACAATACTAGCCAGCATGGTAGCCTGTGGTCTCAGCACACTAGCTGCCTAATGATTGCCAAGTATTTTGTAGGCATCATGTCAAGGAAGAGTTTAAGAGGTCTTTGAATGGCCAGGATATCACAGAAGTCACTGCAGAGTAGGAAATGTTATGTTTTCAATGGTGTTCACTGTGCACACTGTAAAAGACCACATAAATACTAACCAGGCCTGTGGAATAGTCCCTTTTGCTTTGCCAATCTGGGTACAAAACCAACATTTTTTGTGAAAATTTGGCAAATTGGGCCCAGGAAAATTTTTCCTATTTTCTCCGAGAAACAGCTTTTTTTAGTGAAATCTCTTTGTTTGGCATTTCTACAAATTCTGAATAAAATATTCAGCATTAGCTCAAATACTAGTCCATCCATACTGACTCCTGGGATATGGAGTATAACTCCATCCTTCCACCCACTGGCCAGAACGATGGTGAAGGGACTTGAGGACACATCCACAACATAGGGGCTAGTTAAAGACTGAAGCCACAATGTCCCTCTGTGTTTTTGTCCTTTGCATTCTATTCAGGCATGAGCCTACAAGACCTAACAGACCTAGGATCAATGTTTCAAAAGAGGCTAGGCGACTTAGGAGTCTAAGTCCTATTTTGAAAAATGAGCTGAGCACTTCAGAGCCTAAGTCTCATTGGAAACGTATGGGACTTAGGCGCCTCAGTGTCTCAGTCACTTTTGTAAATGGGACTTGGGCTCATAAATCACTAAGGTGCTTTTGAAAATTTGATCCCTAGGAATCACATAGATTTTTACTGGGATGAGGGAGCATTTCCTTAGCTAATCCTGTGCACTTAGTAATATATATGGGTGGGAGGGAGGAAAGGGATGCTTGGGGAGAATCCAATAAAAACAAGATGTATGTATTTTATAGTGATTTTCTTCTTTGAATGCAGATGTAACAAAGGATACAATCTGATGGGTGAAAAGGAAACATCATGCCTTGCTAGTGGTGCTTGGAATCATGCTCCTCCTGCCTGTGAAATAGTAACATGTCCGAGCCCACAGGACATAAACAATGGAAAATACACACTGAGTGGCATGACATACCTTTCTACTGCATCATATACGTGTAACAGTGGATACAGGTAAAAGCTGTAGAGTCAAGTCACAGGCACTCTAAGTGCTGTGAAGATGCTGATGAAACATAAAGACTTGCTGGAATGGCTAATTCATGTCTGATGTAGAGAGTGTCAGAGGAACACAATAGATTTAAGGGTTTTTTTCATCTTTGAGGTTCTTTCTGTGTTTCACACAAAATGCCAACGCTTGTGGGAAGCTCATGTAGCATCAGTCATCTTATTAATGTTTAATTCATTCCCTTTATCACCAAGCTGTAAAGCACATTTCAAACATATGGAAATTAACCCAATATCAGAACCATATTTAAAAGTTCTTCTTTACACCTGAAAGGCTGCAGTACACTTAATTAACTTTTAATGTTTATGCAAAATTATTTTTATTATTATTTTGCATTGATCTTAAAATGCCAGCTAGAAATGGTCTTCTGTAAATTAAAGTGACCATTCTAGCCATTCTAATGAATGAATAAAATCCGTAAAATAGTGATTCATTTTAAGCTTGGGTTTTCATTTTACATTTGTGGATTGAGTCTGGTGTAAACAGATTTTTAGCAGACAATTAAAAATGAATAAACCCCATTATATTAAAAGAAATAGCTTTAATCATGTTACCTACTGTGCAAATTAAAAAATCCTTAACATTATCTATATCTGTTGCAAACACACACCTATACTGACATAGATACATACTCTGGGCCTAATTCTCCTCTGCCGTTCATCTTGTGCAATTATTCACATCTGTCCAAATGAGCGCAAACAGGTGTGAAATGATAACACTGGAGTAAGTGAATGGAGGATTCTGATTTAGTAGTGTTTTTACACATACTTTGTGCTCACTTTCAATTGGTGTAAATGACTACTTAAACTACAAGGCAGGGTAGAATCGGGCCCTATAGCTACAGTACGGGCTCAATCCTGCACTCCTAACTTGGGCATAATTCCTACTAAAGTAAATGGAAGCTTTGTCTACGACTGCAGAATTAGGCCAACCAGACAATATATATCATGGCTTCTTTTATAGATGGAAATCTATTACATGAAAATTACAGTTAATGTATAGTGTTGTTTCACAAATACCGGTTCCATCAATGTATTTTGAAGGCTCTTTTGTATAGTATGGGTGATTTATTTTTTTAATTCCTGCATGAAGCCTAAATAATTTAGCTTTTTGTGGCCATCCAGCCTGGATGTTTGGGAGATGAACTCCACCATCCCCTTTTGTAGTCACCACTCCAGCCAGTGACCCTCCACACCACACCCCTATGCTGGGTGTCGTGGCATCTGTACAAGCACGGATCCAGTCCCTTCTGTCGTCCACCCCACATGCTCTTTTTCACACCGGCATGTTCCAAGCCTGTGCAGAGCCCACCTCCTTGGCAGTGCCACACACCTTATGTGCCACGGCTCAGCACTGGAGTTGGCCTTTCACTGGTGAATTATACTATGCCTGAATAACACTGTGCCATTTTGTGCATATCCCTTGGTGTTACTATAGCTAAGGAAACCAAAAGATCAGCTAACTTTTAATATCTTAGGCCTTTCCTCAGCCAGCAAAAACCTTTAACATCCTACAGGGAATGAATGGCTTTTTGAAAAATAATCTAAATATCAACATGTTCCTTAGTCTTTTGGGTGAATCAAGTTTCAGAGTTCTGCAGATGCACATTGTGGTGGTATATAAATAAATAACCTAATTCAAACACTGATGGCCCAATCTTGCAGTCCACAGGTGGGCAGAACTTCCATTTGCTTCAATGGGAGTTTTATATGCGTCAGTAGAGCGATCCAGACCAGAATAGACTCTCAGCTTTCTCCTCCAGTAGTTCTGATCACCTGCTGTTCTGACAAATTTCAGAGTTGTAGCCATGTTACTCTGTATCAGCAAAAACAACCAGGAGTACTTGTGGCACCTTAGAAACTAACAAATTTATTTGGGCATAAGCTTTAGTGGGCTAAAACCCACTTCATCAGATGCATGGAATGGAAAATACAGTAGGAAGATATATACAGATACATAGAACTGGAATTAATTTGCAAACTGGACACCATCAAATTAGGCCTGAATAAAGACTGGGAGTGGATGGGTCACTACAAGTACTGAACTAATTTCCCATGCTAATTTCCCCCTACTGTTACTCACACCTTCTTGTCAACTGTTTGAAATGGGCCATCCTGATTACCACTACAAAAGTGATTTTTCCTCCTGTTGATGATAACCCACCTTAATTGAATTGTCTCGTTAGAATTGGTAAGGCAACTCCCATCTTTTCATGTAATATGTATATATATCTTCCTACTGTATTTTCCATTCCATGCATCTGATGAAGTGGGCTGTAGCCCACGAAAGCTTATGCCCCAATAAATTTGTTAGTCTCTAAGGTGCCACAAGTACTCCTCGTTTTTGTTCTGACAAGGTTAGCCGTATATTTTGTGAACAGAGGGTAAAATCCTGGCCCCAATTAAGTTAATGGCAAACTTCCCCATGACTTCACTGGGGCTAGGATTACAGCTAGAAGGTATTTGCAAGGAGCTCCCGGCTTCTGTCCCCACCCCCATACAAACTGCAGTTACAGATTAATAATAACCTTTAATTCTCTTAGCCTACAGGGTCCCCCAGTACTTGTGTGTGAAGCTTCAGCTAACTGGAACAGCATACCACCAGTCTGCAAAATTGTCTCTTGTGGATCCCCTCCTGCCATCAAAGATGCTGTGATCAGTGGGAATAACTTTACTTTTGGCAACACAGTCACTTATATGTGTAAGGAAGGGTATGTACATTAGCACTATTAGAATAAAACCCACAATGAGTAAAAATTGTCAAGCCACACAGCAGCTCACTCGCTGTAAGGCAAGGTCCTAATGCGATTCTTTGAGGTCCCATGCTCTTAAGAACATGGCTGTTTTATTAATGCTCATTAATTAATTCTTGGTTCGGTTGTAACTAGCTGGAAATGAAAGGTGAGTGACAGTTTTTGTGAAGTGGAAAGTTGGTATGTGTCAATACTAGCCCATTTGTCAGGTTTCAGGAGCCAGCTAGAGTTAGGTGGGATACAGACTTGAATGGGAGCGCTACAGGGAAATCCAGTTGCTGAAGGCAGTAATACTGATAATTCAATTGGAGCCCCTTTCCCTCTAGTCACTGTTGAAACAGTGCCCCCGCATGGTGTGATGCTGGCAGTGCCATATTTGAGAGGAGACATATTCTAAAATCAAGGATCCCATGGCTCTTTTCACTAGAGTAATAATAAAATAAAGAGTGACTATTTCATCAGTAGATCGCTAAGCACTTCACAATCTGTGAATGTGTTTATCCTCACGACACCCCTGGGAGTCAGGGCAGTGCTATTATCCCCATTTTACAGATGGGGAACTGAGGCTCAGAGATGCGAAGTGACTTGCCCAAAGTCACATAGGAAGTCCATGGTGGAGTAGGGAAGTGTACTCATGTCTCCCACATCCTTGGCTGTGCCCTAACCACTGGACAGCCTTCCTCCCACTGGCGAGCAGGGATATTAATCCTGGTGTAAAGGCCAGATTCTAATTTGGGTGAATTACATTCCATCTTCATGAACATCTCTCTGCAGTTTCAGCTATGCAGTGTCCTTCTTCATTTTCTGTCTGTGTAGTACTTCTGTGCATTTTTAAATATATGCCATAGTTCATCCCAGAGGAGGTTGCAAAGTCCTGCAAAGACTTTCTCGCACGTGCTTAATTTACCCACTGTGAGTAGTCCCACTGAAGTCATTAGAGCTACTCAGTGAATAAAGTCAAGCACACACATTAAGTCTTTGCAAGGTCAGGGTCTAAGTTTATAGAGCATTTTGTTCTCCTTCTTGATGAAAGGAACAAAATACATGTATAATCATTCTCCTTCCAAGCTGAAATCTTCAACATTGTATCTGATATAATTACATTAAATTCTTCATTTTCTTTTTCTTAAATGTGCTCAGACTCAAAATGCTTTGTTATTTATGGTACAAGTATTTTAAACAGGTCGGCTTAAAAGCATTTGGAGAAAACAACTGTCACCTCTATGATAATGAATATAATGATGGGTCATATTAAAAACTGGCACTTCTATGTGCTTTTTTCCCCCTGGAATCCCAGCCAACAGTGTCTGAAAATAAATACTGCAGACAAGTCAAAGTACTTTTACAGATGTGGCCAACAAAATCTAAACAGTCACTTTCCAACCCTCAGCTGCAAAGATTCATCAGAGACTTTCACAGTGGGTTGTTGTTCATCCTCTTTTTGTTTGAACACACCACAGAAAATGTAAGACTTTAAATAAACTCACAGACAACACATTTTGTGTTTAAACAACTGCAGTTTAAGTGGGACAATTGGCAGCATGAAGTGCTGCTTATGATCCAATGCCAGAGACTGATTAGCTAAATATAATATTATCCACTGACTACATGTTAAAATTGCAGTATTTGTGAAAGATTAGAAACAAATTACATGTCATACTGAATTTTAAAAGTATTTCTTTTTATATATGTTGGTGGTTTCTTATGGAAGAGTCATTACCAAATGACAATATACCCATTAACAACAACAATATTTTTAGCTAACTAGCTTAGGATTTTGTGCTGATACCTATTTCCATAGTATCTGAGTTCTTCATAGGTCAATTAGATTGGCATAGCAAGAACCCCACTGGATTTCATAGAGTCTTCAACTCTTCTTCCTTCTCTAGTTATAAGAAGCTCTGCTTTCGGTAGAAGTTTTTGGTTTGTTTCCATTTGGTGGGGAAGGTTGATTGCTATTGTAAATGTTGTTCTGATTGTGATGGAAAAGCTTTACCAAAAGGTAAAGTCTTGCTGTGTGTCCGGATAGCCAGACTACCTATTTCTCCATAGATAATAGGTTTTTCTATAGCCGCCCTTGGTGTAGTATCTAAGCAGTAAACAGTCACACTAGAGTTGCGACTATTGTCTAAAGTGGACCCTTCCCAGCTCTAGGAAGCTCTGCTTGGAGAGTTTTCCAGGGCATGTGGGGTGGCTTAACCCTTCAGTTATCAATCTAACTCCATATGTTGTTGGTCTTTTCCTGATCCACAGCTACACATTAATTGGCCCTGACACCGTAGAATGCTCAGCCAGTGGTGAGTGGAGCATGAGTCACCAGCAGTGCCTGGCGGTTTCCTGTGATGAACCTCCCCATGTGGAACATGCTTCCCCAGAGAGCGCCCATCGGTTGTTTGGCGATATAGCTTATTACTACTGCTCAGATGGCTACAGCCTGGAGGACAATTCCAAGCTGTTTTGCAATGCTCAAGGGAAGTGGGTGCCTCCTGCTGGCATGAAGATGCCCCACTGCATCGCTGATTTTTGTGAGAGGCCGCCCACAGTGTCGTACGCCATCCTGGAATCAGTTAATAAAGTAAAGTTTCCTGCTGGTTCAGCCGTGAGCTTCAAGTGTATGGAAGGTTTTGTCCTAAACACGTCTGCTAAGATTGAGTGCAACAGAGGTGGTCAGTGGACTCCTTCTCCTTTGACTATCCAATGCATCCCGGTTCGCTGTGGGGAACCACCGAGTATTAGAAATGGCTATGCGAGTGGAGCCAACTACAGTTTTGGAGCAGTGGTGGCTTACAGCTGCAACAAAGGGTTCTATATCAAAGGAGAAAAGAAAAGGACATGTGAGGCCACAGGAGACTGGAGCGGTAACCTACCTACCTGCCATCCGGTGTCTTGTGGAGAACCACCCAAGCTTGAAAACGGAGTCATTGAGGTATGATAAGGGTTTTCCAAGCTGCTCGCTGCGCTGGCAAAGTTGAGGTGTCTTAAAGATTCCCACCGGCTAGCCCACTAAAGTTGAAGTAGGATGCAAGCAGAACTGATAAGCAAAGGAATGATGGGGATGGCCTTGTATCAGAATTAGGCTTCTCAAAAACACAAGCCTATTAACAGAATTTCCTATTATGAGCAAGGATTTGATGTAGGAGACGCAGAGTTCCTATGACATTCAAAAGAACACTCTACCAATTGGTGTTCCTAACGTCTCGCTACATATTTGTCCTCTCCAGTCTGTGGGCCAATTCCCACTGCTCCCTAGAGATCTATCCAGGTGCTACAGCTAGCTCAGAAACCTTGCTCTTTTTGTTCTTACTACCAGAAACATCTGATTTGAAATAAACAGATAACTCTGGGATGAATCCTTCCTTTTGGATGCGCACACAGCTCCCGCTGAGGGTAGAATTTGGCCTAACTATCAAATTAAATTGAAATAAATAAAAGCTAGAAGTCAATAACCTCATCAGAGCTAAAAGGTGTAATGAACGCAGCTTTTCTCTTATTGTTGGACCCGTGTTCTACACTGACGGACAAAGAAATGTTTTCATGTTAAACTTCATGGGATATGGGGGGAGAGGCGAGATCAAATTTATTTTTTATTTTAAAGATCTAGCTTCAATTAGAATTGAGGCTGGAGGGGGAACAAACATCCTCTCTCGAGGGGTGAGGCTGCAGTAAAAAGTTACAGGAAGAGTGGGAAGGATGCCTCTCAGAAATCAAGATTCTAAGATTGAAACCAAACATGAAACTGCCTTTTACCACTGAACTATGATTGTAACACAGTGGCCCCCATGTAATTAGGTTGATAATGGTAAGACAGTTCCACTAGGAGAAGCTGAGAGCGCATAATGTACCTAGAACCATTTTAACTGCTTCCTTAAGGGAACAAATTCTTCTTATTATAATTACTTTCTCTTATGAAGGCCAGTTACAGAGAGTGGCTAAATCAGCTGAAAAAATGAAACTCCCTCACTAGTGCATTCTTATTTCAGTTTGCTCAATTATTATTATGTATTATCATGAATACTGTTTTTCTACTGTGATAAGTATGCATTGTTCCTATAAAGTTTTCTTTGCTGTAGAGATAGAACACCTGAGATTGCAAGTACAATACTGCAGAGGTTCTCAAACTGTGTTTATTGTTGTTATTATTTTATCCAAAGCGCTTGACAATAGTTAGCTAACGGTACAAACAACATTTGGAAAGATCAGTAAGTGGTCCGCCGAGATCCTCAGCAATTTTCAAGTGGTCTGCGGGAAAAAAAGTTTGAGAACCTCTGCTCTACACTGGATAAAGCTTTAAATTAAAGAGCCATGTCATTTGCAGAGGTCTCCTCTGCCTACTTCCAGCCTTCTGTTGCTCTTCTCCCTTTTCATGTACAGATTTTTTTTGCATGTGTGTCCAGGAAAACATTTTCTAGCTTTAAATTTTGAACATTAAGCTTTAAAACTTTTTAATATTTCATTCAGTGCAACTCTATTGACCTCAGCGGGTGCAAGTCAAGGCAGAACTTGTCCCCTATATTTCTAGTGCAAACGTTTATTTCTTTGCAATCAATCCTTGTGTCTGGTTAGCAATTAGATACAGAAAGACGAATCAAATCAAAATTCATCTGCCAGGGTCAAGAACTTTTACCTTCTACTTACCATTTGTCTCACCCATTTTACAGAGCACAACTGGCCGTTTCTTTGAGAATGAAGTGTACTACCAATGTAATGCTGGCTACAAGCTAGTTGGAAGTTCAGTATCAGTCTGCCAAGCAAATCGTCAGTGGCATAGTGAATCGCCACCTTCTTGTGTTCCTCTCAGTTGTGGCAAACCACCTCCTATCCAGCACGGATATGCAAAGGGAGAAAGCTTTGATGTGGGATCCAAGATTGAGTTTTTCTGCGATGAGGGCTATGAGCTGATGGGAGATGCCTCTTGGACATGCCAGAAGTCTGGGAAGTGGAGCAAAAAGCAAAGCCAAAAGTGTGTGCCAACAAAGTGCCCAGAACCACCACTGATTGAAAATCAGCTCGTCTTGAAAGAGATGGTTCACCAAGTAGGTGTTGTACAGTTTTCCTGCAAAGAGGGCTATGTCTTGCATGGTTCCTCGGTGCTGAAATGTTTGCCGTCACAACAGTGGAATGATTCCTTTCCAGTCTGCAAGGTTGTACTGTGCCATGGGCCTCCATACATTCCCTTTGGTGACCCTGTGGCATCATCTCTTCATTTTGGTAGCACCGTGACGTACACCTGCATGGATGGGTTTTTACTGAAGGGAGAATCTACAATTGGATGCCAAGCTGATGGCTCCTGGAGCTTTCCATTGCCAGAATGTATTCCAGTAGAATGCCCCCAGCCTGAAGAAATTCAGAATGGCATTGTAGATGTGCAGGGTCTTACTTACCTCAGCACAGCACTGTACACTTGTAAACCGGGCTTTGAATTACTGGGGAACACAACTATTCTCTGTGGAGAAGATGGTCATTGGCTCGGTGGAAAGCCAGCTTGCAAGCCTGTTGAATGCCCAGAACCTAAGGAGATTCAGAATGGCAAATATTCATACACAAACTTTCATTATGGGCAGACTGTTACGTATTCATGTGACAGAGGATTCCAGCTCAAAGGGCTGAATGTACTGAGCTGCTTAGAGACAGGAGAGTGGGACGCAGATGTTCCATCTTGCAAAGCCATAAACTGTGACCCCCCTCGGCCCATCGAGAATGGTTTTGTGGAAGGTGCAGATTACAGCTATGGGGCTATGATCATCTATAGCTGCTTTCCAGGTTTCCAGCTGGCTGGTCTTGCCATGCAGACTTGTGAAGAGTTGGGATGGTCTAGCTTTACTCCGGCATGCCTACCAACAGACTGTGGCCTGCCTCCCCATATTGACTTCGGGGAATATGTGCAGGTTAGAAGTGAAGAAGGACATTTTGACCAAGAAAGAATACATCTTACTGAGAGCCCTCCTCTTTCTGACACGTTAGTTGCTAGTAGCTGGAAAGATATAAAAAGTCCTTTGAAGGAAACTAATGCAGTACAGTTGACAAACTTTTTATATGGAACCATAGTTATGTACACGTGCTACGCTGGTTATGAGCTATTAGGAAACCCCATACTAGCTTGCCAAGAGGATGGGACGTGGAATGGCAGTGCCCCTGTCTGCATATCAATAGAGTGTGACTTACTCTCACCCCTAGAGAATGGCTTTTTACATTTTACCGAGAATACACTTGGTAGCGTAGTGCAATATGCCTGTAAAACAGGGTATAAGCTAGTTGGTTCTGACACAAGGCTGTGTTTGCCTAACCGACAGTGGAGTAATGCTGCTCCATATTGCCAGGTGGTATCCTGTACCACACCTAACAAACTCATGAATGGAAACATAAAGGGAGAAAACTACACTTACAGGAGTGTGGTCCATTATGAATGTGATCCTGGGTACCAGTTAAATGGCTCAGATAAGAGGACATGCCAGGATAACCAAAAATGGGATGGGAATGAGCCTATTTGCATCCCCGTTTCTTGTGGCCAACCACCAGTTTTAGAAAATGGCCACGTGACTGGAGACGAATACACATTCCAGAAACACATGGACTACAGCTGTAATGAAGGTTTCCAGCTGCATGGGGACAGGAGTAGAGTCTGCCTTGCAAATGGAAGCTGGAGTGGAATCACTCCAGTTTGTAAATCTGTCAGGTGCGCAGTACCACTACCTCTTCCCAATGGAGAAATTATTGGATCCGAATATGGCGTTGGGAAGGAAGTTCAGTATCGCTGCAGTGAAGGCTACATATTGCATGGAGCATCCATACTTACCTGTCAAGCTGATGGCACCTGGGATACAGAGGCTCCGTACTGTGAGCCAGTCAATTGCGGACCCCCAGAAGACATCTCTCATGGCTTCCTGAATAGTTCAGGCTTCAGTTATGGGGAATACACACAGTATGTGTGCTTTCCCGGTTATGAGTTACGTGGAAATCCACTGCGGCAGTGTTTGTCCAACGGCTCATGGGGGGGAAGCCTCCCCTCTTGCCTCTTCTGTGAATGCCCCACGCCACTGATTCAGAACGGGGTTGTTATCGGGCAAGATTTCCGCTGCGGGAAAAGTGCACGATTTCAGTGCCTGGAGGGCTTTAAACTGCTAGGGCCTTCTGAACTCTCCTGTGAGGCAGCCGGCAAATGGAGTTCTGCTTTTCCACACTGCAGGCGGATTTCATGTGGCTCCCCACCAACAATCCCCAGTGCCTTTATCAGTGGAAGCAGCTCTGTGGATGAGAACACTGTAATATATAACTGCAGAACTGGCTTTGTCATACAAGGGAGGCCAGAGCTGACTTGTACAGATACGGGCGTTTGGAGTGAGCCGTATCCACGCTGCGAGCTGATGTCCTGTGGACCCCCACCTTCCGTTCCTAATGCAGTGGCTGTCGGAGAGGCCCACACCTATGGAAGCAGAGTCCAGTACAGGTAAGAAGGCTGCTGTAATTACATCTCCCTGAAATGTCAAAGGAATGAACATAGGACCTTTAAAGCAAATGAATACATTCAATTCGTGAGAGGCTATAAAATACATAGAAAAGCTGTGGAGCAGACCTCAGGAGGAAGTTGACACACATCCTTGGAGCTCCCGCTGCCATGTAACGCCTCACTCCAGCCTCATGATTGACCCACAAACTCACTGCATGTCATGCATTTAAGCCATGGAGAGTGCACAGTATACGTTAATATTATTGAGGTTGTGGTAAAGAATTTGTGTTACAGTTTCCAGGTATGTGTGTGTCTGTGTTTCTATGAAGCTGAAGTGACTGTATTAGCAGAGGAGTGGATTCTATCAGTGAGAGTGGCTAAAATGAGGGAGGGATGGGTGGGAGGGACAGCATGTATATGAAGGTACCTGAACAGGTGACTTCCCTGCTTGTAAGGGTTTGGGTGGATGGATTTTCACTGAAGCACACTTAACTGGTATGTGTATGTTTGTGTGCATACAAACAAACCCCATGGAGGGTCAAATTCTCCAGTCCAATTGAATTGCACTCAATGCAGGACTGTGTGGGGGAAAGCAAATTTGTCTTTAAGTTACCTTTGCTTTCTCCCAGTCTTGGGGTCTGCTTGGGATTTGTCCAATCCCTGGTGCAAGCAAGAGCAGCCCTCAGGTTGCCAACGGCCCCCAGGGGCAGATCCAGCAGCTGGCAATCCTCAGAACATAACACTGTCACCATACCCCTTTCAGCCAGCCATACCCTCTCTGCCCAAACCGCAGGAGCTGCTACTGTGGCTTTACATCACATGGGGATTCTCCTAGGCACAAGAAATCACCAGGGTGATGAATCCACCCTGTTTACTCTGTGCTGCTGGAGCAGGGGACGCAGCCAGCGATGGACTCAGTTCAAACTCCTGCCACCAGATTTATAAACACACAGCAAAAATGCCTCAACCCTCTCACAGCAGGTTGCTGAACTGATACAGAAGTCTAGAGGCGCTGCTCATAAGAAACAAATATTGACAATTGAGCCACATGGTAGGTTTTGTACCTTGAGGATTAGAACATCGTACGCGTGTGTACCAATGATTCTGATGCATTGCAGATGTCTGGAGGGCTACGTGATGGAAACAGAAATGGATACATGCACTTGTCAGGAAGACGGACACTGGTCTCCTAAGAGCATTTCCTGTTGCCTCAGAAAATGTCCCGTGCCCACAAATCTAACCAATGTAATTATTTCTGGTGATGAGTTTACTGTGAATAAGAGCATCACTTTATCATGCTCAGAAGGCTACACTTTGTCAGGAGCAAGCACATCTACATGCCAGGTAAAGAGCGTTGGCCTTTTCTTTTTTTAAAGGTGCAGATCACTATCCTTGGAGGTGTGCACTCATCTGTGGGTAGAATGTGGCCCTGCTTCCTGATTGTACACAATACAGGTGTAATGCACTGTAAAATATACAGCAGGTCCTGCTCCTCCCTTAAGAAAAAAACACAGGCTTCCAGATTTGGGAAACAGTCCTCTCCTCTTACTACTTAACCATAATACTGTACTGTGACTAAACGTTCTTTTTCACTCACTTTATTCTGTTTTAACTCTTAATTCTGTTTCAGCTCCCACTGAAATTAATGGGGATCATGCATCTTAATCCCTTGACACCTTTAAAAACCTCAGGCCTTGTATTTGTAAAAAACAAACCTCTTCAGCTATGTGGCCAATAATACCTCAGGCCTCGATCCTGCAAGTATCTACCCATCTGTTTAACTTCAGGCTTGGGAGTAGACCCATTAGAGTCAGGGAGACTACTCACGTGAGCCAAGTTCAGCATGGGAATGTGCGTGTGTAAGATCAGGGCCTTCCAGAGTTAAAACTGGAAGAATTTATAAACTCTCCCTGCTTGTGCTATTTTTTGTATTTCTGTTGAATCAGTTTGCAGGGGTCCGTTCGCTCCTGCTTTCCATCCCACAACAGACAAAAACTTAACATAAAAATGTAAACGTGTGAGAAAAACAATTCTACTCTCCTCTGTTTGCTGAACAGTTCTTTGGGTATTCGGATGCATAGCTGAAGCTGTTGACTGATACGTTGGAGAGGCAACATTGTTGTCTAGGGGTTAGAGTATTGGATTAGGAGTCTACAGAGCTGGGTTCCATTCCAGGTTCGGTCACTGACCTGCTGTGCGACTTTGAGCAATTCTCTTCACACCTCTCTGAGCTTCTGTTTCCCCTTCTGCCCTTTCTCTGTAAGCGCCTCTATGCGAGTGTGCAAAGCTCGCACAATGGGTCCCCAGTCTAGGTTGGGGCCTCTGAACGTTACATTACTGCAAATAATAATAAATGAGAATTATTGCCCATCTCTGTACTGGTAAAGCTCTCTCCCACATGTTTTCTGATGTTCTCATTTAATAGTTATTTCTCTTGCTTTTTAGCACAATGGCAGCTGGGTGCCATCATTTTCTGATGATATCTGTGTTCCTGTCTCTTGTGGGAAACCAGAAACCCCAGAACATGGAACTGTGCTTGGTGCTAGTTACAGCTACAAGGATGCGGTTCTTTATCAATGCAATGCTGGCTATGAATTACAAGTAAGTCAACTGAATCCACAGTATATGTACCAATACTATTAAGATTAACCCTTGTATTATCATCTTGATTGTTCTTGCTTATCCTCTTTGTTTAGTAGAACGTATTATGATTATTTTCTTAACTTCTGCTGAACATTTATGTCTTTTTCTTGCTGTTGCTATTGCCTATAGAATGATGCACATATAGATGGGGCTCTACAAAACACTTCAAAAGACCACTACCCTTTCTTGACCAGGTTGCAATTCAGATAAATATAAAATACAGGTCAGCAATTCATATGCAAAAAGTGGGTGGAGGGAGGGAAGAGATTTGTAAGAAGAGAAGGTGGTTTTGGCCCTTAGCAAATGCAGCTCTTTTTTTTAAATCAGTGGATTCTATTAAAGTGTTGCAAAGAGAAACCAGAACGGAGAGTTACTGTCTCACCCTTTGAACTACTGAATGTAAGCATAGACTGATTTCCCAGATTCCTCAACCCCAGCTCAGTTCAGCACTCCTGCTATGACTCCATGGCTCCCTCAGTGCACCTTCCACCTGACTATCTCAAAGCACTTCACAAACATTAGTGATCTCAGCCTCAGATAGTCCTGGGATGTAGATAAATAGTATCTCAGTTTTACAGATAAGGAAACCAAGACAAAGACGTTGCAGCAGCTTGCTCAGATTTACTTTGGGGCGGGGCAGGGCAGGGAGCAGAGTCCAGTGCTTCTGGCTCTGTCCTATGCTTTTATAATTAGCCCATACTGTCTTAACAAAGTAACAGTCAGTGAGAAAATAATAGCAAGTCATAACCTATCACAAGTTAGAAAACTTACATCTTTCTGATTTTTCCATAAATTATGAAAAGTGGCCTTTTAACCTTGTCAGATCCTGCACTGAGCCTGGGAGGTGTTGTGGTGGTGGTATTGTGAGGAACAGGGATGGTAAGGTAGGGAACAGTTCTGAAACAGAAAATACTTAGATTGTGAACTTTGTGAGGCAGTGACTTTTCGTTGCTCTGTGTTTGTACAGCGCCTAGCACAGAGGGATCCTGGTCCTAGGCTTTACTGCAATGCAAAAAAGACTAATGAAAATAATACAGTATTTAAGTCAGCCTGCTAGGATTCAATCCTGCAAGGTGCTGAACATTCTGGTCCTTCCCCAGGCAAATATTTATGCACATGTTTTACTTTAAGGATGTAAATAGTCTCATTGATCTGGAGAAGATAGACAAGCTCACCTTAATTACTCTCGTTACAGTTGGTATGGCAACACCCATTTTTTCATGATCTCTGTGTATATATATCTTCCTACTGTATTTTCCATTGCATTCATCCGATGAAGTGGGTTTTAGCCCATGAAAGCTTATGCTCAAATAAATTTGTTAGTCTCTAAGGTGCCACAAGGACTCCTCGTTCTTTTTGCTAATACAGACTAACACAGCTACCACTCTGAATCTTGTGAATCTGTTCAAGCTATTGTGAGGCTAGCAAAAAAAAGGAACCCTGCAATAACAACATGTGTATATATTGAAGGCATATTTTATAGTGGCAGCTGGATCAAACTGCAGTAATGGACTGATTTTAGGACAGAGGCTACCTCTCTGTCAGAGACAGAAGAAACCCACTGTAAAATTCTTCCAAATGAAAAATAGTACATGCTCCTAGACATTATTCCACCTACGCCCCCTAGTGGAGTCTTGTCTCCCTGCAGTTAAAACAGAAGTCCCCTACACTCCTCTGAAATGCTCTGCCGTGGCCTAATGCTCTAAGTACAAGCATACTTTAAAGTAAACACCTGCTCTTGGTAATAGGTGCTCTTCATATGGACATAACTAGTGAAAGAAATAAAACCCAAACTTAGAAGTTAGACTTAATGTTCTGTGACCAAAGAGACAGTTTAATTGCCATGTCCTGAAGAAGTGCTCGTAACTATTAGAGTGTAGGCAAGAGGACAAGAGACCTCGCCTAGAACATGTGAGTGGGATGGGATAGAAATAAAGTATTATTTAATTGAGAGCTCACCTCTGCCCAGCTGCTTTTGAAAGGAGTAAGTTAGGCCATTTTTCCTGAATTACAAAATGAGTATTGGAGTGAGGACCCATCTGAACCTTCTTGGAAACAGGTGAGACTCTGCTGGCAAGGAGAATGGTCTTAGATTCTCAACCCTGTGTTTAGAGCACAAAGACCACAGGATTGGGAATCAAGAGATTTAGATTCTCACTTTAGCTCTCCCACTGACTTCCTGTGTCGCCGCGGGCAAGTCATTTGACCTCTCTGTTCTTCAGTTTCCTCCGCTGCCATTTCCCTGCTTCACATGAGTGCTGGCCTGCTAACTGTGTCAGTGTTTGTGGAATGCTGCTACAGCGATAAACACCGTTGGAATGCTTATAAACAATTACAGATACAATCTCGGTCAATGCTTTTTTATCAAAGACCCTAACCAGAGCTGTGTGGGCCAAAGTCTGCTCTCAGTTACAAATGCAAATCTGGATTAATTCCACTGGAGTCACTCCCAATTTATGCTGATAGAAGTATGCCCCAAGTTCCTAGTGACTGACTGAACTCACAGGGTCTGATTTTCCCCTCACATACTCTGGTTTTACACCAGTGTGGTTCCATCAACTTCAATGGAGTTACTCCTGATTTACACAAACATGAGTGAAAATGGGAGAGAAGCAGGTGCAATGACTACACTGTGGGACAGATTCTCATCACAGCTGCACTGATGTAAACCAGGAGAAAGTCCACTGGAGTCAATAGAGTAGCACAGATGTAAAATGAGGTGTATGTGAGCAGAGACTCAGGCCCACCAACTTGGCAATTTTACTCTCCTGTTTTGTTTCTTTCACCATAAATAACCTCTACAGAGCAGGACACGATCCACTGCTCTGAGCACGTGACTGCGAGAGGTCAGACACTAAATCCTGATCTTGTCTTTGACATTGACGCACTCTACGGATTTGAGAAAGACACTTATCCTCTGCCTCTGTTTCCCCCAGCCGTACAATGGAGATTCTGACCTGGCTCTAGGGGGTCTTGTGAGAGTTAATTAGTGAACATTTGTAAAGTGCTTTGAAGATGAAAAGTGCTTTAAAAGTGCTAAGTAGTATTTTGTAATTATTAGATGTGAGAAACCCAGGAATCTAAGTGCATGCTGCCCCTTCTCATCTACCAAGGTTTGAACCCCGGAATGTGCATGGGATGCTCCTTCTCATTGGATTTCACTGCTTCTTTCTGTGGGAACTATATTTGATTCCACCCTAAATCCTGCATTCTCACCCAGTTTGTGGTTGGTGGTGCTATTGATGCAACATCAGCTGATCTAACTTCCTCTCTCCAGGACTGAGAATGTCATGGTTTTTGGCACATTTATTTTTTCCCATTGAGGACAATGACACACTAGTGCAAGCGTAGAGTATCCAAGGGGTCGCATCAAGGCACAAAGATTTTAAAGCAACCTTTCTCGCCATCTGTCCTTTTCTGAACTCAAAATCTGTCGCGGATGTTATGCAAGTTTTAGGACAGAATTCTGCTCTGACGTTCAGCTAGTGGATCTTGGTTCCAACATTCTGCTCTCCCTTGGTACATGGATTTCTATAGGAGGGAACATGTACAGAGGGATAGCAGAATAAAGGAGTCACGATTGGTCATGAAAAAATGAGAGCAGCTTTGATTCTCTTCTCCTGCAGTGCAGTAATGACACAATCCTAACGATTTTATGCTGTTTCATGATCTTTTTCCTTTTGTCTAATAGGGTGATGCAGAACATATCTGCCAAGGAAACAAACTATGGAGTGGAGCAGCACCAGTGTGCAGAAGTGAGTTCTAAATTAGTTTGTTGTATGTCTAGTGTGGCTTGGGAGTATTTTTATATGGCAGATAAGTACTAATGTTCAGTTTGCTTTGTCTATTACTTAAACTGTACATAAAACTTTAATGTGAATAGTATGACACATCTTGCAAAATTGCTATCATCTGAAGATAATGTTGTTATTAAATAAACTGCAACACATACTTTTTTTTTTTCCTCCAAGAAAACAGCACTTCTGGACAAAGCTTTTCAAAGGGTGATTTTTGGTGCCTTAATTTTTGGGTTCCCAACCTGAGACACCTTAAAGGGTTTGTTTGGGTGATGGGACCTGGTGGTTATATTTTGACACCTCCTCTCTGCTGTTTAACTGAGTGAAGCTTTGGGTAACTATTATTTAACTGTGCAACCAGGCTAGGGCCCTTTCTAAAACTCCAAGAAAAAGATATCCAATCACAGATAGGAAGGCCAGTGTGCTTGGATAAAGCTTGGGTTAACGTAACCAGAAACTGTTCCGTTTTAAGGGCACGCCCCACATTTAAACACTTTTACCATTTAGGGCAACATTCAGGGCTGTTGCTGACCTCTGAGTCACATGAAGTCAATGGGAATGGTGGGGGCTCAGCAGTCTGAAAATTAGGTACTTAATGTCTTTCATTTACAAAGGTTATGTCTACATTACTGAGCCTGTGTCGGCATAGCAATTGTACCTACTGTAGTGTAGCTATGGGGCTATCAATTGGTCGCCGTTAACTCAAAGCGATTAGCGCAAAACAAATTAACTAGATTTTAAAAATTAGTCGCAATTAATCGCAGTTTTAATCGCACTGTTAAACAATAATAAAATACCAGTTGAAATGTATTATAAATATTTGTGGATGTTTTTCTACATTTAGACACAGCATACACCAACAGAAGGAGTTTGTCTGGTAGTGGAGGAAAATCACCTCCCGAACAGTGTTCGCTACATCAACTCTGCCATCAGCATAGCTGTGTCAACACGGGGGGTTTTGTTGGCATAGCTATATTAGTCAAAGGTGTGGTTTTTTTCACGTCCTTGACTGATGTAGCTATGCTGACATAATTTTTAAGTGTAAACCAACCCTGAGACACTTACCCTGAATCATGATTTTGCTTTTTGTTTTCCTTTTCAAGTTTAACATCATTAATATGGCTGTAAAGATATTTTCTAATGCCTTCGGCTAAAGCCAACCTACATCAGATTTGTTTTTAGGGGTACCTGGCAAGCCCCAGACAGCATTCTGGGCTAGCTGTTATAGGATGTCTTTGCTAGTGAATGGAATAATCTGGGAATATTTGCATACATACTGCATATATGAAAATTACGTTTCCTCCATTCTAACTGCTCTTCCGGAAGATTGAGAAGGGGTTGTGACTGAGACAGGCAGTTGGTAAAGGCATCTGCATATTTTCTGCGGTATAGGGATCTCCTGTGGACCACCAGAATCGATAGAGAATGGATCTGTTCATGGGGAGGAGTTCCTATTTGGGGATGAAGTTCTCTACAGCTGTAATCGAGGCTTTGAACTACAGGGACCCAGCCGAAGAATCTGCCACGTTAACAGGCGATGGAGTCCCTCAGCCCCTTCGTGCGTGCGTAAGTACAGATCAGAGCGAGATGAGTGCCATTCTAGAGCAGGGCTAGGGGTAAAAAGCCATTGGTGGTTTACACAAGCGCTCCCACCAATGGAGCTGCACCAGCAGTCGTGCATTGGTGGGAAATATCAGGAAAAATGCCAGTGCAGACAAGGCCTAAGTGAGTAGTTACAGTTCGCATTTCCTCTTTGACTCCGATGGTGGCTTTAGTCTGCTAGATGCTGCAGCAAATTCTCCACCCAGTTGCATATTGAAATGGCAGGACTTGGGGTTGCACTGGGATAAATGATGGGAAAGCTTGGCCTGTAATGTCTGAATTTTATTGTATCGTGGAATATGGGTCTTGAATTATCACACTGCAGTGATGTGTCGTACGGGTGCCAGTGCTGACCCAGCTGGGTTGTTTTGGTGGGAGCAACTCAAATCACTGCAATCTGATTGTTTTGCTGTCAGAGCAGTGAGGTGTGACTGATTTTGGGGGGGAGGACAAAGTAGATATAATTGCTTTGTGCATTTCATAAATGTATTCTAGGGGCGTTATAGCCTTTTGCAAGGAATTCTGTCCAGCCTTCCTCTCTCACTTTTTACTCCTCTATCTCCACGTTGTGCTGCTGCAATGTGTGCTAATTTCTAGGTCCCCTTTCCACTTTACCTCTGTACAAAATGAGGAGTGAGAGCCTGTCTCTAATGCTGCTCCATCTATCGGTGATTCTGTCCCTCTGAGACATTGAGTCACATTTCTTTATATCTTGCTTTTCCAGCCTCAGTTTCCTCCCCTTCATCCTCCTTTAACTCGTTTTGTGAAGTAGGGCATGATACAGTGTACAAAAGAGAAGAAATAAAAACAAACGGCTTTGTATAAATACTGTAAAGATTATAAACTCAGAGACTTCTTTTCTAGGGATAACTTGCGAGCCACATCCCTCTATAGAAAATGCAGTGTCCGTGGCCTCAGGAAGTGCTTACAGAAGTAACGTTACCTATGTATGCAAGTTTGGATACCATCTCGTTGGGCCCCAGAATATCACATGTCTTGCCAATGGGACCTGGAGTAAACCCCTCCCATCATGTGAAGGTAACTGTTAAGTTTTATGCCCCAGTACGTATTGATCTAGGAAAAGCAATCATTATCGTTCTTGTTGGCATACCAATATGTATATCCTACAGCCAGAGAATCAAACCTCTTTCTGGAAATGTTCTTCCATGGAGCAATGAAGTGCAGTAGTTCTTTTTATATTACTATTAACTGGCACCCAATCAGCTAAAAGTATTACAGGAAATGGTTCCTAGAGGGGAGAGTTATTATTAAGACCAGAAGGCTTATCAGACAGAAAGGATATTCCTTTAGGGTCTGAATCTGCAAGGTACCATAATAGCTTTATAAACATCAATGAGAGCTAAGGGCACTCACCATTTTAACAAAGACTGTGGACAATGAGAACAAATGACTTTTCTCCCAGTGGCTCAGAAAATCCATATGAAGAGCCATTTTTAATTATTATTTATTTTAGCCAGGTTGGCACCTCATGGTAAGAACTTCAAAATAATTGTCTCAACAAATTTATCTCTCTCTCTCTCTCTCTCTCTCTCTCTCACACACACACACACACACACACACACACACACACACACACACACAC